TTCCAGCAGTCTCCTGAATCTACAGAGTCAAGGCCTCTCCACCTGTTTCCTCAATATCTTGGCCATTTGATTGTTTCCTGCTTCAGACATGATGTTAGTTCCAGGACCCTGAAGGCAGGGGAGCAGAGAGCAACACTCTTAAAAGTCCCGGCAGGATGGACTTACCAGATCTCTGCAGGCAGCTGTGTGCATGTCCTAGTGGTCCTAGTGGTGGCAGAATTGTTTCTGGAATCAGAAACGAGATTGCAGGCAGCCCAAGCCCTCAGGCCAAGGTGGACATATGGCCCAGCATCATCCTGTCCTTGCCCAGGGTGACCCTGGGATGGCACATGGACTCTTCTACATTCAAACTCAAACCAGCTCCCTGCTCTCTCCCCTGCAAGGATTGGAGACCTTGCCAGGCCCTTGCCACAGCAAAATGGACCAAACCAAACAGATCCGCCAGCGGAAGAACAAAGATGTGTTCAGAAACTGTCAGGAAATCCGTCTTGAGCTCACTCTATCTGTTCATGCAGCAAGGCCAGGGTCAACTGTTACTAGGGAAAGTGGCTTGTGACAGTTTACTGATGGAGATGTGCTTGCTCAGGGTGAGGGGGGACACACCAAGAACAGGACTGGAACCTCTTAAGAGGAGTAGAAAGAGGGGAAAGAGCAGTCCAAAAACTCCTCCTTAAGGACACGGTGCTAGAGCTTGGGCTATTAAACCAACCCCCAGTCCCCTGCCTGAGGCCAAGCAGTGGCCTGGGGAAGTGACCTTGTGTTTGGTGGCCTAAATGCCCAGGGATGCGCAGTGGCAGAGAAACCCCTGGCAGAGGGAAAAGCCCAGCTTGACCCAGGGTCCCAGTGCTGTCCCCCACTGGCTGCATGTCAGAGGGGGAGTTGTCATTGTTCTCAGCCTCCTGTCTCAGCCATTAAGGCACAGTGACGGCACCCCCCTCACAAGTCACCTGCACACTGAATACCATGTGTGCGGCACACATGCTCTCGGGAATTACAGCCACTACTGTCCTTCAGCAGCCCCATGGACCTGGAGGTGCCTTCCTCTGGGATGGCCTTCCCTGCTCATCGCTCACTGCGTAGGTCCACCTGGCCACAGGGCAAACTGTGGTCACACACATTTCATGAGCTGCCACCTTCGCTGTCCTCCTGCAGCCACACCTACCTCCTTGAGAAATAGAAATGAGGCCCTACATTTGAATCTTGCCCTTGAGTCCACAACAATCCTAGAAGGCAGAAGATCTTGCCCTAGTGAGCAGGTGAGCAGGCGAGGTTTAAAAGAAGCCAACCGGCCTGCTTAAGAGTTCAGTGACATTCTGGGAGAAGAGTCAGCCCACCCTGCACCCACCCAACCACCTGCTCTTGGCTTGAGGGCAGAGAGGGAGCCTCAGGAACCTCCAAATAATGGTGGAGTCAGTCTAGATATGGTTCTGGGGAGAGCAGGGAGCAAAGACCATGAGCCATGTGCCCAGCAGAGCTATCCCAGCCCAGCACAGCTGTCCCAGGTGCTGGAATACTGAGATAACACCAGAAGGGTTCACAAATTTCCTCTATTATAGGCCTACAGCAAGCTTGCCTCCCTAACATTCCCCTAGTCCTTCCCACAATCCAGCAGATAAAGGATTATCATCCAGCTCAGTGGGAGATCTTAGGAAGCTACTTTTCAGCCCCAGAACCAGCTACTAACAGCTTCAAATATCAAGACCTCCCCCTTCTTAGTCTAGGAGGCTGAGTAGGGACCTGAGCTCTGGCCCAGCCCCCAGCCTGCTGAACCCCCAGAGAAGATAGCACTGTGCCCTCCATTTCAACATGCTCTCCTCTCTGGACACCACCCAAAAGAAAGCCCCATGCCCAGCAGCTAGCTGCCTACAAGGCCACTGTCCAGCCAAGGACCAGGATACCCAAAGTTGGCAAGGAGCAAGCCTAGTGAACTGGTACTGCATTCACCTGCAACACCTTCCCAGCATCCCACACCTGTGGAGCAGGAGTCAGAGATGCGTATGAGCTGGTCCATGGGGAAGCCCTCATCAGGTGAAGGCACCAGAGTGGGCCAGAGGCTCTGAAAAGACCAACAGGAATGGGCATGGAAACAGCAGAACCAGAGGAGCCTGGTCAGAAGAAACCAGCAAGAACAGCAGAGTAGTGCTCTGTGGCTCCGATGAGGATGTAGCTCAGTGATAAAGTCCCTAGCACCATATGGTCCCTTGGACCCTTCCTCCATAGGGAGGAAGGAGTAGGGACAGGTTGGAGCACGGGGAGCAGGACCCTGTACAGACCTGAAAAATGGTAGGATTGAGAGAGTGAGGCAGAGCTATGCCAGGCAGCACTGCCTCTCAGGATTTTGTCCCAAGAGGTGGTGAGGCTCTCTTTCCCTGAGGCCTCAACACTCTTTCTCTTCTTGGTCCCCTCTGGCACTTCCTTCAGGGATAAGGTGACTTTATGTGTCTTGGGCTCTGCAGCCAAGAACAGAATTACCGCCTGGCCTTCCCTGGGGCTGCCTTCAGGTGTTGGCTGATAGGCAGGCTGTTTATGAACCTCTGCTGCCCTCAGAAGGACTGTTCTAGAATTGCATCTACTCAAGGGTTTCAGAAAAATACAGTGTATGCCCCAGCCAGGGATGGCAAGAGGTCTCTGAGCTCCAGCACCTCAAGATGCTCCAATATCCATCCCCCTCTGATAAATAATGACAGGTGCCGAGCTCAGTTGGAACAGAGGCAGAGTTAAAATCCAGGTATTCCACCCACAGACCCACATCCCCCACCTAAATGGGTCCAAGTGCCCTCTGAACCCCTCTGCCAGAGCTCAGCCCCCAGGCACCCTGTCCCTTAACTTTGGCAATTCTCTCTGGTGCTTATGTGACATTTCATGTTCTTGCCATTTACTTGCCTCCCCCACACCTCACCACACTAGACTATCAGCTCCAAGAGGACAGGGGCCCATCCTCCTGATGCCCAGCAGAAGAGCTTATTGGACTACGATCTCCTCCAGATGAAGCAGCTCCTGCTGTACCCTCCTGCTGGGGTTGGTTCAGTCTCTTGCAGAACAAGCTGCAGCTTTGAAGGGGCCTTTCCCTCAGGTTGAGCTGAGCCTGCCCTCCAGGTCAATGAGTTCCCTCCTGGGCCTCCCCTGACCTTTTAAACTGCCCTCTGGCTCTCTAACATTACCACCTTTTCCTTTTCCACTGTGCATACACTCCTGTAAAAACCATATCAACCCAGGAAGATGCCTCCTTCATCTGCAAATGAAGATGCAAAGGCAATCTACCTCACTGTACCCAAGGAAGGACCAGATAGGGACAATGTCCTGGCCCCTTTATGACATCAGGGCCTTGAAGGCCTCCACTGTGACTGTGCTTAGACAATTGCTTAATTGCATGAAAGCGGTTAAGATGAAAATAGCATATTTAAAACTTCTATGGGGCAGCTGGCCCTGAGAAAGGGTATTATTCTGCACATCTTGAGGTAAGAAGCCTGTAGGCTTTAGACTCATCCATGTCACAAAAAAACCAGAGAGCAGTTTGGTCAGAGCGAAATCAGGTGGCCTGATCACACTTGTCATCTCCACATATCACATGGCCACAAAGCTAACTAGAAAACCCTAAAGACATGGACCCTGGGGGAAAGTCTTCCCAGCAACAGAGGACCGGGCTCCACCAGCACTGGGGGCTCTGCAGTAAGGCCAGTTGCATCTCTGCCCCACTTCACAGAACAGAACAAGGCAAGCTGGGAGGTGTCATGGACCTCAACAGGGGTTCCCACCTGAAGAGGTGATGGAAGGAGCTGGTGCACAGGCTTTCCTGAGGGCACAATCTCCAGTGCAGAGCTGGTCCTGTTGCTTTAAGAGCCACAGGTTGGAATCTGGAGTCCAGACTGTCCTGGCAAACTACAGGGCCTTAGGTTTCAATAAGTGACCTTTCTGTTGGAGCTAATTGAGGAGGGCTTGCCATGATGCCAGACATGAGACGCCTGCCAGGGAGGAGAGAGGGAGGAAGGAGGGAGAAGGCGGGGCTCTATGCCTGCTGCTTCCAGTAAAAGGCAGGCGTTTTGGCAGTAGGCTTCAGTCTTGTTGCTATTGTAAATCATAATAAGCGGATTATTGCAGCACTTGTTCTTAAAGTTTCCCCAAATTGTTCCAACTGAGTTGTGAATCCCAGCAGGATTATGGGTAGAGTTTATTTATAGGCAGGAAGAGCCCTCAGCGCTTTATCTTCCACTCAAAAGACTCCATGCACTGTAAACCCATCTCCCCTTCCTGCCCAGCCCAGGTTGAGCAAGGCCCCTGTACCCAAGTCCCCTGGGGCTGGCAGGGTGGAGTTGCAGCAGTTGACCCCTCAGCTGCTCACATGAGCTTATTTGGTATGAAAAATAAAGAGCTTCAAAAAGACTTGAGTTGGGTTTCCAAGTCAACTAAGTATTAGTAAAAACCTTTGGGTATGGGCAAAATTTCTCCAACTCTCCTTCCAATGGGGATCTCCACCCGCAGGCTGAGCCACCCTTCCTCTGTCTGGGCTGCACCAGGGCTGGGCCTTCCCCTGTGCCAAATTGCCAGAGTTGACATTTATGTCAGTGTTTCCATTATAAAATGCTTTTTTCCTCCTTCAAGAATATATAATCCAACTGTTAAATTAACTCTCAAAGCTGCAGCTGGCAAAGTATTTTTATTTCCTTTCGGATAGAAGGTGCACCTGGCCAGGTCTCCCCAAGATCCTCCCTGGAAAGACTACCACTGGGAAAAATAAAGAGTTTCAGCAGCTCTAGGTCATCCTCATGAATGCAGGGCTATGGGCCGTGGCCTGGGGTTGCTTGGCCAGGGAACTGTTAAAACAACAGCTACTCAGGAATAGAAAATCTTAGAAACCTGTGGTGTCATGGCCTGGAACCAATAACAAAAGGCTCCATTGAGACTCCAAGCTTGCCAAAATATCTGTACCTGACCCAGCACCCAACAAGGGAAGTACCCAGCACACAACTCACATCAAAATGCAATGCAACGTGTTAGCCCAGTTCTAAAAATCCTTATTAACGCCTTTTAATATACAAGAATCAAAAGTACAGCAGTTTTACAATGTAGGAAAATTTAATACATACTATATAAACAACATTATTTACATCAGAAATCACTAGGACAGTGGCATTTTTCACAAATATAAATTAATTACTGTTTAGTCAACAGATTTAAAAGTCCACAATTTTACAATAAAGAAAAAAACCACCTGTCCCCAGGCGGGTGGGGCACAGATGGACTAAAGCAGCCTGGACCCCTACCGTGGCTCTCCTTGCCCAACTTGGCTGCCCCTAGATGAGCCAGAAGACTACTGGTGCTGGGCTGGGCCACTGCTTCTGCTGACAAGTGGATTTTGGTCTGTAGGATTTCAGTATTGTCAAGTGAACTCCCAAATAAATTGCCTTTGCACCTCAGGCCTGATGCAATTTTTAGACTCAGGGCCAGAATGTCTGCAGCATGTTGGGGGAAAGTGTGGGGTTCCCTTGGAAGGGCTTAGGGAATGCCTAATGTGAGAGCAAGCCTAGGACCATCAGGTTAGGCTCCCCAGAGGGCCTGGCTGTGTCCCTCCAGTCCCCCTGAGAGACTACATACAGTGAGCAGCACGGGAGCTCGCCTTGTCCTTTTCTAGGGCTATGGCACATCCTGTCCATCCCTGTTTACTTCAGATTTTGATGATGCAGACTCCCTCCTTCCTCACCTTCTGCTATTCATTCAAAGCCAGGCTCCATGTAATACCATCCTCAGATTCCTGGGGCAGTCTCTCCCATTTCCAAAAGTGAGAGAATTTTTACCTGTGCAAACTTCTGTTGTGATTTAAACATATACTTGTACTGATTAAAAATCAGTGAGGAAATGCCTCCTTTCTCCCAACCCACTTTTCAAATAAACTTCAACACCTAAAACAGATGTTTAATGGGGGATACTGTAATTTTATAATCAATATAACACTGATCTGGCCCATATTGCCTTTTGCTACATCATATGGCACTAAAAGTCCTGAATGTGAACAAAAGGAAGTTCCTTTTTTTCCTCATGATGAGACATCTTTGGGAATAACTCACAACTCCTATCAACAACTTGAGAGAAAAACCTGGGTAAGTATGGATGGTGCCTCCAACCCTGCAGCTTCCCATGGGGGCTCATCCCCTTCTTACCCCCACATCCCAACACTCAAGGTCCAGCAAATCAACCCAATCTTCCTCTTTGGCTTGGGCAGAACACAGGATAGTGTTGATATTATTAGCAAGAAGCTCCTTCTGTGGTTTCCTTTTCAATGTGTGGAGATTTGATTTCCTGCCTTCACCGAGCAGTCATGGCAGGCCTCCCCATGGGAGGATGGAGGCCAGATGCTCCGGGCTCTGTTGTAGGGTGTGCATGTACAAGGCCAGGGTGAGCCACCCCAAGTACAACGAGGGGCTAAGAAGGTAGTGAGCCTTCCCAATACAACCTGTAGGAACCCTGACTCTCACCTGGAAACTCAGCACCAGCCCTATAATGCTCTGTACAGCAGGAGAAATGGCTCACCATGGCTATATCTGTTTCCCTCAGGGGAGGCAATGCGGGCATGTTTCGGTAAAGCCAATAACGGTGCTGCCTAGGATATCAGCAAGTATGTGACAAATGATCTTACAGAGGTCCCCACAAGTTAGTTCAGGGAGTTCAACCCATTAGCTTAGAACCTGGATACTCGTATGTTCAAGTTTTTCTGTCTCCGTCTAGAAAAGCTTTGGATACAATACTGGCAAGCTATACTGAAATTAATAAAAGGCCTGAGCATCAGTACAGTGAAAGGAGCTTGCCTTATGATACAACCAACCTGTCCCCCAATCCTGCCTCCATTCAACTCCAGTACGACTCTTACCACTTACAACTCAGGCACCCTGGCTGTAGACAATTTCTATTTGGGAAAAAAATTAACTTAGGTTTATACTTTACAGATCTTATACTAAAGGAAACCAAGTACAATTCTACTGATCTCTAACAAGCAATGGAAACTTCTTCACCACAGGTTACTTATTTTCATCTGACCACCCCATGAATTCTGGGAGATCTGTGTAACCTACTTTGTCAAGCTGTGCAAAGGAAACTAAAATGTAGCTGCAGATGTTGACCTATTCCAATACTGAAAGCTCCCCCATTTGCTGGCACTACCTAAAGCCCCCTTCAAGAAACCTGCCAACCACCTACACAAGTGTTCCCACCTCTGTGCTTGCCCACTGGTCAGCAGGCCTGCCTCTGCTTCCTGTCCAGGACCTGTGGTTTTCCTCTCACCACAAGAATCAGAAATCCACCAGGGATTCCTGTCCTGGTCACACTACGCCCCTCCCTACCTCCACCCTAGACCCACTCAGCCCAATCCCCAATCAAGGAATAACCACGCTGACATCCATGTTGCCTAACTCACAGTACTTGAAAATCAGTCAGAAGGACACTACTTTCCCTGGCACAGGGAAAAGCAGGCCCACCCAGGAGACCAAACCCTTGAAATGTACAAAGACAGTGTGGGGAAAATTAGTGTTGGTAGGAAGGAGGACATGGTAGAAGTAATTTTCCTCTCTTGCTGTCCTCTACCTACTCCCACCCTGTAGTTTTCACATAATGAAGCCAAGTATAATCTCTCCCAAGGACACGTTTGAGGAGTACACCTGCTCCCCTTTAAGTCCTATGATATGAGATCCACCCACTCACCCCACTCCCCAACAGCAGCATCCATCATGTCATAGTGAACCAAATCCCACACTGTCCAGCAGGTCCTGGTAGCCTTCATGCACCAATTCCTTCCCCTGACCACTGCACCAAAGTCCAGGAACACTGAACCTGGCAGTTAAACATTCATGACTCTTAAGATCCCAGATTCCTTTGCTGGGGAAACAGCCCAATAAAGCTGGTGCACAAAAAGTCACCTCTTCCTCCTAGCACCCATCAGGTGGGAGGCAACAACCAGGCTGGAGTGGGATGGGGTGCCAAAGTGCAGGAGTGGTGACCCAAATCAAAGCCCGCCCGACGAAAGGCCTCCCACTCCTTCAAGTGCTCCTTCAGCCGGTGAGTTGACGGCAGCAGCATGTCCAGAAACTCCACTCACCGGTCTAGATACCTGGCCACTGTTGGACCAGACCAAAAACGTCCACATGATGTCTCCTGCTCTCCCCTTTCTGAGCTGTCCTTTATGTTTTCCGAACATTCCAGTTATAATCTGGGTTGTTTTTCTGTTCTAGTGATCTCTCCAAAGGAGACCTGTGATCCAGGGGTGACTTAGAATCGTGAGGAGATTTCTGAGAAGGGGGTGAACGAGGATCTGAGACTGCAGGGTGCAATGGGGGCAGGGGCTGTTTATATTCCCCCAATTTGTCTGTGTGGAAAGAGCGGTAATGGTCTGAGGGTCCCTGGCCATGGTAGCCCATAGGGGGGCGGTGATCAGACATTCGACGGAAATCCTGCTGGTGGTAATTTTGAGGCCTAAAATCATCAGATCTCCTCCTCTTGGAGTCATGATGGTGTCTGAAACAGAGATGTGAAGATTAGCTGAAAGACCAAAACCAGACTCCCATCCACTGGGATTTTCTACACTCATACTCAATAGACTCGGGGACAAATGCTTACATTACCAGGAAGCAAAAACAAACAAACAAATAACAACAACCACAAAATTAAAGCAATTACAAAAGATCATTTTTCACTTATTGGCAAAATGCGTCCTATAAAATGACACAGAACTTGCTGATACAGTATACATACACTTAATCACTGATGGCTTTGTAAACCACACTCATCAGGAAAATATACCAACTATACACATTTTCATGTAATCTTGACCAAGTTCAGGAGGAAAAAACTCACTGAAATTACTTTGTAAGTTATTAGTAACTCAGATATCAACCTAGATAGTCAAAAACATGTGAAAGGTTGATAAAATTATTTTTTAAATTGACTCTGTTAAGAGTACTGAAACTTTAGTTTGGGCCCTGACAAACTACTCATTATATCATTAAAAGACTACTCAAAAGGTAAAACAACCCAATTTTAAAACAAAGGACTTGAATAGACATTTTTCCAAAGATAAACAAACCACCAATAAGCACAATGAAAAGATGCTCAATCTCAGTAATAGTAGGGAAGGGCATATCAAACCCACAATGAGACCATTTTACATACACTAGGATTGGCTATATTTTTTTTAAATATAGAAAAGTAATTAATGATGAAGATGCTGATAAATTACACTGTCAAACATTGCTGGTAGAAATATAAAATGGTTCAGCCACTGTGGAAAACAGTCTGGTGGTTCCTAAAACATTAAAAAATTATAATATGACTTAGTAATTCCACTCCTAGGTAAGTATACACACAAGAACTAAAAACAGGTATGTGAACAAATATCTATATACCAGTATTCACTGCAGCATTATTCACAGTAACCAAAAGATAGAAACAAACTCAATGGCCACCAACAGATGAATGAATAAACAAAATGTGACATTTAAACATATACTAAAGTACTGTTCAGCCACATAATAATGATAAATGCTACAATGTACACAAACTGCAAAAACATGTTAGGTCAAGAAGCCAGAAAAAAAAGGTCACATATTATATGAGTCCCCCCTGCAGGAAATGTCCAGAATAGGTAAATACATAAAGAATGCAGACTGTCAGTTCCCAGCCTGTGCTGGGGAGAGGGAAGAATGGGAAATAATTGCTTAATGGTTATGAGGTTTTCTTTGCAAGTGTTTTGGAACTAGATGGAAGAGACTGCATAACACTGTAAATGTACTAATGTAACTGAACTGTTCACTTTAAAATGGTTCATTTATGCAGTGTGAAGTTCACCTCAGTGAAAGGAGTATGGGGAGAATTAGGTATTCAGGTTCAAAGAAACAAAATGTACAGAACTATGGTTTTCAAGATAGCACATGAACAACAGTGCTCCTTGAGGATGAAAACTAATGAAATTAGTCTTCTAATTCCCACTGCTCACTACTGTATCACAGAGAAAGATATGACACAGGGAGAGGAAAACCCAGGAAGAGGCTGTCAGACTGCCGATGGACCAAGGCGGCAGAGTTCACATGACATGGCATAATCGAAGAGAATCCTGCATAAACAGAAGATCTGAAGATCTGCACAGGGTTCCTTTCCCTCTTCAAGTTCATAACACTGCTCGGGATATGAATGTGAGGAAAGGACCCATGGCTAGGGAAAGAACCACCTAGAAGGATTAGAGGTTATTACCTTGTATTCACACAAAGCCCAGCAGCGGATCTTGCCAGCTAGACCCACAACCTTACTAAATTTAAGGGGCATTATTGAGTACAGTGTAACAGGGATTCTTACCTAGGGGTGGGCAATAATTAGCCCCTGACCAGGCACTACTCCAGTTCTGCCTAATAAATCTTATCAGTAAGACCTGGAAGAATCAAACTATTTCCAAATAATCTGCATCTTATAATAAAACTTCAGAATATTTATAGAACTATAAAAAGCACACAACAAGGTAAATTTTACCTTGCATCAAATAAAAAATCATGAGGCAGTGAAACTAAGACCCATAATAAAGAGGTAAATCAATTGAAACTGACCCAAATGATATAATTAGCAGACAAGGGCACTGAAATTATTCTGATAACCTATATTCCACTTCTGAGAGTTTAAACTGAGACATAGAAGATGAAGGAAGAAAAAAAAAACACACACACACCCTAATACAACTTTTAGAGATAAAAACTACAAGGTATGAAAAGTATATTTTATATAATGAATAGGCCTCATGGGCAGATTAGACAATGAAAAATAAAATATTAATACACCTGGAAGACATAGAAATAGAAACTATCCATAATTAAAAAGAAAAAAAAAGAAAGTCCTTCAGGAGAAGAAAAATGGTACCAAATAGAAATACAGATCTATCTATATAAAGGAAGACAGAGAAAGTATCCACTGAAGCCAGATGAGAAATGAAGGTACAGTGAGGGCTGAAGGCTCCTTCTAAGGAGATGTCTGATACTAGGCCACCACTGCTCAGCTAATGTAGTCTGCCTTTCCAAATCTTTCAAAACAGAAGACACTGAGGGATATGAACAAAATTTTCCCACTTTAAATTCAAGCTATAATCCAGGGCTAAGGTGTAGCTCAGTGGTACAGCACTTGGGTAACACATATAAGGTCCTGGGTTCCATTTCTAACACCAACAAAGCATCAGCAGCTGAGGAAAAAATCAAATGCTATGAAGCTAAATAAATATATAGCCAATTCCTAAATTCAGAAAATTTAGGGAAAACTTGTCAGCATTCCCATACTTGCTAATTCTCATAATTTAGAAGTACTGGCTCATCATATCACTGGTAGTTTTATATAGCTATACAGCAGACACAATTTCAAAAGCCTTGACTCTTAAATTATGGATTTCTGGCAAACCAAGGATCATTGGCTTATTTCATCTCAGAATCCCTACTACCTAATGTGCTACTGAGACTAAAACAAAGAGCTTAATAATTCTTTTTCTTCTTCTTTTTTTTGGGGGGTGGGGTGGGGGTGGGAGGTTGTAGAATTGAAAATTAAAACCAGGTCCTTAAGCATACTAAAATACTGGGCAAGCACTTTACCACTGAGTTTACCCCACCCTCACCCCACCAACCATTTATTTTTAATTTTAAGGCAGGGTCTCACTAATTTGCAGAGGCTGACCTCAAACTTGCAATACTCCTACTTCAGCCTGCTCAGTAGATGGAATTACAGGCATGTGTGGGATTACTATCATGCCCGGCATAAAAATCCCTACTCTTAACCATTTCCTCCTATAAGTAGTTCTTGGTGAGGTCAGTGCCCGGTGTCTCAGAACTTTTTACATACCTGTCATAATAATCTCTGTGTCCCCGGTGGTCTCGGTCACTGCTGTACTGATCATATGGTCTTTTTCTGGACAGATTGTTGGGTCGATAACTTCCAGAACGGTGGGCATCCATATGTCGCCGGTCCCCATAGTGGTGGTCCTTGTACCAGTGTTGCTCATACTGATGATGCCGGTCACTGCCCCATGGTGGATTATTGTTGCCACCACCATAGTTGAACTTTCTTTCCCTCTGCCAGTCTCCTCGATCTGCAGAAAAAGAATCTTATGACTATAAGAAATGACTGAATCTCAAAAGGTTTGAACTGAAAGGCTGACACGTTACAAGCAAACATTAAATCTCCTGATGGTTAACATATCAGTAATGAGTGTTAACATTCTCCCTTCCTCCTAAAATCTAAGAACTGCTACTTTTCATTTTCTAGATCTATTTACCTTCTAATCTGTGATAGATGGTCAAAAAACCAAAACCAAACAGTAATTTGGAAAACAATACACTGAATTTCACAGCTGCAAGATAATACCATCCCCCCTCGATTTACACATCTAAAGTTTTTCACCTAATACAGTTAGGCTGTGTCATTTCTGAAAATATCTTGATTATATTAACTGATTCTCCTATTCTTTTTCCCTAGCCCACAACTAGACCTCTTCCTCTGACAAAAAGTAATTCTTTAATTATGAACTTGGATCAGCACTCGAACTCTTAAAAGATAAGGCCAAACTAAGATCCATTTAACTTCTGTAGCTTCCCTTTCACCCAAGGGAAGGACTCACACTTACTTGGCTCAGAAAAGGTAGTGAAAACACAGAAGCCCAGGGATGGAGGCTGTTGTGATTTGAATTATAACCCCCCAAAATTTCTGTCTACCCAGAACTTTTGAGTGTGACTACTTGAAAATTGGGTCTTGTAGATATAATTAAGGATCTTGTTTTTAGCTTAAATCCAATGACAGATATCATTTTAAAATGGAGGCAGAGGGAGGTATAAGACCCAAAAGCAACTCATGTAAAAATGCAGGCAGAGATCAGCATGATGCCACTACAGGTCAAGAACACCATGGAGTGTTGGTAGCAGGCAAAAGGCAAGGGAAAGGCATGGAACAGGTTCCCCCCTCAGAACCCCAGAAGGAACCACCCCTGCTGACACGTTTAATTTCAGGCTTCTGGCCTTCAAAACTGAGAGAAAATACATTTCTGATGTTTTAAGCCACCTAATTTGTGGAACTTCATTACAGGTAGCCCTAAGAAACTAATACAAAGGATTAACCAGAAGGAACTACAGGAACTCATGGAAAAATCCATCTTTAGTCTACATCTGACAAAGACATGCCACCAAATAAGTGTCTCTCCAACTAAATGTCTCTCAATAAATTTTGCTGGCCTTCTAGCATTCTTCCACAGAGTCAAATAACATCATCATTAAGGAAGGTGTATAGCTTAGAAATATTACCATTAATGTAATAGTCAACCTGAAGCTTAAGGTCATTGTTGATCCAGGTGGATCAGACCAGAGGTAAAACTTGACTACTCAACTAAAGAATTAACAAAAAGCAACAAAGATATCACATCATGAAAAGGTCATTTGAAGATGGATTCAAATCAAAGTATCAATATCTGTGGTATAGCAGAGATGCTTGAAACTCAAGCTAAGTCATTTATTTACAGAATAAATCAGTACTTTTCTTGAACCCTCCATGATACAGATCACTAGTTAGGAAATATTGAGCTAGTAAGAAATCCAAGAATGTAGTTAGCTTAATACGAAATTCTTTGAAAGGAGTCAGAATATAAGTGACACCATATGAATAACACAAAACCAACCTAATACCCAAAAGTTCAGTATAAAGAGGAGGGCACAGGAGAGGGAAAGGCGAAATAGTGGAGAATGATATTGGCGAGGTTATATATTGTTATATTATGTGCATGTACAAATATATAACAACAAATCCCACCAGTATGTACAACTATAATTCACCAATAAAAAATATGAAAAAAAGTCACACAACCTAAGAACATAGTAATATTTCTCAATCATCCTGTATAGTCATTAACTTTCTTCTCTTCAATAAAATGGTGATCCATTAATTTTGAACTTATTCATTTTGATTTTTAAGATTAGAGGAGGGGCTGGGGATGTGGCTCAAGTGGTAGCGCGCTCACCTGGCACACGCGCGGCGCTGGGTTTGATCCTTAGCACCACATACAAATAAAATAAAGATGTTGTGTCTGCCGAAAACTGAAAAATAAATATTAAAAAAATCTCTCTCTCTTAAAAAAAAAAGATTAGAGGATGTGGAACTTCTGCTTTCAGTTAAAGTAGCTTGCAGCAGAACTATACTCTGTCAAGGACAATGAGAAAGGCCAAATAAAAATAATTCTTTTAAAGGCATCAAAGAGCCACTAAAGCAATCAGGTCTAGATGTACTAAGATTCCAAGGAGCAGACAACCTCAAAAGGTTAAGAGCTGACTTCTGCAGCCACCTAAAAGTTTGTTGTTCTGAGAATAGGAAAGAGGCTGAAAAGGATCTAGAACCACTGCTGAGGAAAGGGGAAATCAGCACAGCTCTGGTCAGGGGCGTCTTTCTAGGTTATAGTGATACTGGAGATTTGAGGGACTTCAAACATATGCCCAGCTTTTCCAAGGGTATTTATTGAATCTGCAAGAGCAGGAGGCTAAAAGGATTAGCTGAAAACCATCTGAAAAGCACTGCAGTTTGGGGGCAGTCTCATGATTCTAGAGAAACAAAAAGCAGAGTTGAAGGCCTGCTAGAGAGGACTTCACACAACTAGCTCTCAGCTGAGTACTCCGAAAAGCTAAGTCCCTGGAGAGAGGTGAGCCAGAAGGTGAAATACACTGAGATAAGCACCTCCCATTTTTGTGCTCACTGGAGAAGCTGAGTCTCCTTGGGAGGTAGAATACAGAATCTAGAGCTTCTACCAGTTTTAAAACACCATGTTCCCAATTCAAACAGAACTAACTAGGCATCTCAAAAGAATCACCTGCATGACTGAAAACCAAGGGGGGGTGGGCACAGTAGGAAATAATTCAGATATTCAAGGAATTTGGGGCAAAAATTTTCAAATAGCTATTTTTTAATACAAAAAGATAAGAAAACAAAACAGATATATAATATATATAAATATTTATAATATAAACTAAAATTTTACCAGAAGACATGAGAAATTCTAGAAATTTAAAATGTACTCCATTTTGATTACTTTGAAATATTTAAATCTTTATAAAATAAATCTTATACTACACTTCTATACCTACTACATGCTTTTTAAATCTTATTCTATATTTTCCCTTTTCTTATTTTTAAAGTAAGGCCAGAGGTGGTAAGTGCACACCTGTAATCCCAGTGACTCAGGAGCCTGAATCAAGGGGACTCCAAGTTCAAGGTCAGCCTCAGCCAAGTGAGATCCTGTCTCAAAATAAAAAAAAATTTAAAAACATTTTTAAAAGGGGTAGAGATGCAACTCAGTGATAAAGTATCCCTGAATCCAATGCCCAGTACTAAAAAAAGGGTGGGGGGGCACGTTTCATGCTCATTGTAATCAGGAAACAACAGACAATGGATAAGACTTCTTTGAAATCTTATCCCCTCCATTCCTACCATGTCAACGTAATTGTTATTAATGCCACATATATGCTTTCAAATCTTTCTCTATCCTTATACAATATGCTATTTGTATACTACAGAAAACAGTTTTGAGGTTTCCCATAGAAAGCAAAACAGAGAATTACCATTATGAACCAGCAATTCCACTCTGAGGTATATACCTAAAATAATTAAAAGTAGACACTCAGGGCTGGGGTTGTAGCTAAGTGGTACAGCGTATAGCCCTTGCCAGCATGCATGAGACCCTGGTCAATCCCCAGATACCACCCCCCACACACACACACACACACACAAAAGTACTCAAATATCTGTTTACATTGGTGTTATTCCCAATAGCCAAAAGTAGTAACAAATCCAAATGTCCATCAATAAATGGATGGATAAACAAAATACTGTACATTTACTCAATGGAATATTCTCTTGCCATAAAATGAACTAAGCATTGACACATGCCACAATGTAGATGAAACTTGAAAACATGATGTAAAAGAAGCCAATCACAAGTTGTAATTATTCCTTTTATATATTAAATATTCAGAATAGGTTAATCCAGAGAGACAGAATACAGACTGGCAGTTGCAGGCGTGGAGAGAATAGGGAAATGGGGATTAACCCATGGGATTTCATTTGGGATGATAGTTGGAACTAGATAAACATGACTGGCAACACTGTGAGTGAACTAAATACAACTAAATCATTCACTTAAACTTTTTTTTTTTTTTTTTTTTTGGTACCAGGGATTGAACCCAGGGGCACGCGACCACCAAGCTACATCCCTAGCCCAATTCTGTATTTTTATTAGAGCCAGGGTCTGAGCTGCTTAGTGACTTGCTTTTGCTCGGGCTGGCTTTGACCTCATGATCCTGCTGCCTCAGCCTCCCAAGCTGCTGGGATTACATGCATGCACCACCACGGCCCATTCACTTACAAACTTTTGAATTCACACTACGTGAATTCACCTTGATAAATTTAAAAGCACACACATAAACACATGTACACACATGGCTGCTGCTACTGCTTATTTTTTCTTTCACCTTTTTTGGTCATCTTTAAATATAAAAACCCACCAATCATGTCATCTTTCTTCTTTTGCTCCTGTAGATTAAAAGGAAACCAAAATAGCTCAAGACCCTTAATTCCTGAGAGCAGAATAAAGATGATCACCTCTGAATATTTTCCCTTTGTCCTTCTTGATTTTCAACCTACCATTTACTGCTTTCTTATCAAAAATGTTCATAAATTCCAGAGATCCCACAGTATTGACAGTCTAATAGTGATCTATCTGTTGAGTCTGACCTTGTAGGTCAGTACAAGAGAAAGAATCTCCATTAACAAGTGCCTGTGAGAACATATGCAGGAATCCCTAGATGCCACTATGTATGTTCTGAAACAAATAACCAGGCTGTCAACACTCAGAAGAGCATCCTGAATGATGCAAAACCAAGATTACCAAATAAATAATAATGGATACAAATGTTCCATTACTCATCTAATCCACTACTAATTATCTAATTATTTCACTAATTAGTGAACATTGAAGTTATTTCCAGTCTTTTTATTTATTTATTTTTGTCATACATGACAACAGAATGAATTTTGACATATAATACATACATGGAATGTACATACAACAATCATATTGTCAATTCTATTCTGCTGCCCTTCCTATCCTCCTTACTCCTCCCCTCCTCTCCCATCCTTTCTCTCTATCCAATCTAATGTGACACACTTTTTTTTTTTCTTATTTCCAGTCTTTTGACATTGTAAGGCTGGAACAGAATCCTCACTCAGCTATGAGTTTTCATTTCTATAGGACAAACTGCCAGAAAAGGGATTACAGTTGTCAAAAACCTATGTATTCAGATATTTCAAATTATTTTCTAAGTAGAACGGTAGCAATTCTCACTCTTAGCAACGGGCATTTCTCCTTTTAATTTCTGTTGATCTGAATGGTTTAAATATATTGGTTAACTCACTGTGCATTTAATATACTTCCCAAATGCAAGATTGGTCATCTTGTTAGTTTGATTCTATCCCCATTCCTAATCACTGCCCAAGTTTTTTCTTTTTAACAACACATAAGCTGCTCTAGAAAGACTTTTTTTTTTTTTTTTTTTTTTTTAAATACTGAGGATTGAACCTGGAGCTTCACACATGCTGGGACACATTCTACTCCTGAGCTTTACCCACAGCCCCTATAAATTTTTATTTATTTTTGCTTTTTTTATAATCATATCCATAAAACTTTAATTTATATTCCTTTTATGAACTTTGTCTCAAGAATGCAATTTAAGAACTTTTTATTTGACAAAAATTATGTATATTTATCCCATACACGTTCAAAATATGTTAATTATGGAATGGCTAGACAAAGTTGATTAACATATACAGTGCTTCACACACTTTTATCTTCTGGAGAGAACAGTTAAAGTGATTTTGAACTCTTTGTCATTTTGAAGAATACAAGAACATTGTTATCTATGGTAACATTGTACAACTGACTCCTCCTATCCAAATGAAATTTTGTATTTTTTGACCAATATTTCCCTCAATTCCACTCCCAGCCCTCTAATCTCTGGTACCACTGTTCCACACTCTGCTTCTACAAGTTCAAATATTTTCAGGCTCCACATATGAGATTATGCCATATTTGTCTTTCTGTGCCTGATTTATGTCACTTAAATGTCCTCAAGGTTCACCCGTGTCATCACAAATGGCAAAATTTCATTTTCCTTGATGGCTGAATAGTATTCCATTAAGTATATGTGCATTTTCTTTACCCACTCATCTGCTGACGGAGACTAAAGTTGACTCTATATCTTGGCTACTGTGAATAATGCTGCAATAAACATGGGGGTAAATATCTCTTCAATATACAGATTTCATTTTCCTTGGATATATACTTGCAGTAGTAGAATTGCTGGGTCATATCATGGTTCTACTTTTGTTAGTAACCTCCACATGCTTCTATAATGGCTGTACTAATTTACATCCCCACTAATCCTGCACAAGGATTATTTCTTCTTGTCCTTGTCAACACATTATTATTTTTTGGAAGGAGGCAGGGTATTGGGGATTGAACTCAGGGGTACTCAGCCACTGAGCCACATCCCCAGCCCTATTTTGTATTTTATTTAGAGACAGGTTGCTTAGCACCTTGCCATTGCTGAGGCTGGCTTTGAACTCAAAATAACAAAAAATAATGTGTTATAATTCCAGTATCTCAAGCCACTGGGATTATAACACATTATTTTTTGTTGTTTTGATAAATGCCATTCTAACATGTGTGAGGTGATTTATCACTGAGATTTTAATTCATATTTTCTGATGATTAGTGATGAGCATTTTTAAATATACCTGTTGACCATCTGTATGTCATTATTCAATCAAACTTTTGAGACTAAAAGATCTCTGAAAAAAAAGTTTATTGAGCTATACAGATGCTAGTCAAAATTTCCCACTGGACCTAAAGGGCTTTGGTGTTTTATGATAAAATTTACGGAGAAGAAACATAAATCATTGACATTGAACCTACATTAGTTACAGACAAGAAGGGCAGGACAAAGCAAAGTGGGCAGAGTCCTGGGATAGGAGGTTAGTCCATAAAGTGAACTTTTGCTACTTCTTGATTGGTTGGTTCCAAAAGCAGAATGTGATGTAGCCTTGATGAGTAATCTTCAGCATACAGGAAAAGAATGTAGAGCAGCTCTTTTTCTAGTTGGTTTAGCTTACAGTTGTGAGTTAAAATTACTTTCTCTTATCTTTTTCCTCCCTTCATTCTATGGCCTGTAACTTAATTTAGGACACCTCAGAATTCTTCTCTTATCACCCTCTTCTGAGAAATGTCTATTCAGGTCCTTCTGGCCACTTTTTAATCTGGGCATTTTCTTGCTATTGAGTTGAATTCTTTATATATATTGGATATTAACCTCTCATTGGATGTACTGTTTGGGAGTTATTTCCTCTCATTATGTAAGTTGTCTTTTCACTCTCTTAGACTGTCCTTTGCCCATTTCTCTATTTGGTTACCTTATTGTTACAACTGGCAAGGATCTTTTCTGTATTAGCAGTCTTAGCCATTTACCTGTCACAGAGAATAGTAAAATCTTTCCCCTAAGTCTGCTACTTGGCTTTTGTTTATTGTAGCTATGTTCTTCTTAATTTAAAGTTGGAATAATAGTCTTTTGGATCTTTATTTCATGCTTTATCTCACCAAGAAAAAAGAGGACAATAAAGTCTTGGAGAAGAATAAAGCACCAATGTCCGGATGCAGTCTTTGGAAAATGAAATTACTGAGGTTTTTGGCACATCTTTGAAAACTCCACTTAATGGCCTACCTGCATTACTAAAGTGTCTCTTGTTGGGGTGATTGTAGTTATCTCTTGGGTGTCCATGCATCTGTGGGCCATGGGAAGCAGGCAAATGAGGCTTCTGAGGGTGAAGGTTGTGTGAGGTGTGGGACTGAGATATCAGAGAATCCCGGCTTGAGCCCGAGGCCTCTGGTCGAAATGGTTTCTTACCACCAATCATGTCATCTTTCTTCTTTTGCTCCTGTAGATTAAAAGGAAACCAAAATAGCTCAAGACCCTTAATTCCTGAGAGCAGAATAAAGATAATCACCTCTGAATATTTTCCCCTTGTCCTTCTTGATTTTCAACCTACCATTTACTGCTTTCTTATCAAAAATGTTCATAAATTCCAGAGATCCCACAGTATTGACAGTCTAATAGTGATCTATCTGTTGAGTCTGACCTTGTAGGTCAGTACAAGAGAAAGAATCTCCATTAACAAGTGCCTGTGAGAACATATGCAGGAATCCTTAGATGCCACTATGTATGTTCTGAAACAAATAACCAGGCTGTCAACACTCAGAAGAGCATCCTGAATGATGCAAAAACAAGATTACCAAATTTCTAGAGCTAACTAGAACAAACAACCCACAACTGTTCAGTGTAATCTAGTTCCTACACTAAAATCATCAAGCTAAACATCTGAATGTTGAAGTAACATCGTTCTTTTACCTCGTAAGTAAAATGTTCAATATTAAAACATAAAAAATGAAAAAGGAAAGAAATGTTATGAGCCCTAACATCTAACCAACAAGGGAGTAACTGTTAGTAATTTGGGCCACATCTTTCTGAACCTTTTTGTGTGTTTTTATAGGTTATATATATATATAAAAAACAATTCCTATTCTTTTTTAACTAAATGTTATGAAAATCTTTTTCAGTAAATGTTTACTTCTATAGTATTACATTTAGTGGTTGAACAGTACACCCCAATTATCTACAATCACGATCTATGTATTCTTATTGTTGTGACTTCCAAGTCATTTCCATTAACATGCTTAAATCCCTAATTATATTATCTCCTTAAGCTAAATCCTTTAGAAGCAGAATGGTGTGGTCTAGTTTTTTGATAAATCCTGCTGCATTATCCTCCAGAAAAGCTGTGACAGTGTATACCTCCACTAGTAGGATATCACTTTTTTTTACTCAACATATACTAACTTCTAATAGTTAAATTAATGAAGCCCTTTACCACTGTGCCCATCTTCAGACCCTTATTTTATTTTTAGAGAGAGAGAGAGAGAGATTTTTTTAATATTTATTTTTTAATTTTCGGCGGACACAACATCTTAGTTTGTATGTGGTGCTGAGGATAGAACCCGGGCCGCACGCATGCCAGGCGAGCGCGCTACCGCTTGAGCCACATCCCCAGCCCCAGACCCTTATTTTAATTTTCACTCTAGCCTAAAGGCCTTTCCTAACTACTTTACTCCTTTTCATGGGACCTTTTACAAAGTCAGACTTTGTGTAAGATTTAGATTAACACTCAGCAATATTAGTATATGCAAATACATTAGTATACTACAGCTATATCATACTCTTCCATATAAAATTAAATACAAAGTAATTGAGGTTATTACTTTATAGGCCAATGGAGTGCTGGACAGAGTCTAACTTCAACAAATATTTCTGAATACCTACCCTGTGCTAGCCACAATTTCAGGCACTGAGAGACATAACAGTGAATGAAAGAGAGAAAATAACTTCTGCTTTCACAGAGCTCACACATGAGTGGATGTATTTCAAATGTTCAGAGACTGGAAGATTTGGGTAGGAGGGTCCACATGGCAAATCAGTAGATTTGCAAACAGGCATATCTATACAAGAAGTACTAACACTGCAGCAAGAACCAAAACACTTTTGCACCTGTCCTGCTACTCCAAACAAAGGGAGGCAACTTTTGGGGCACGTTCTCACATCCATGTCTTGAAAGTGACCAGTTGGGATATGTCTACATATAAAAGCTGGAAGGACACAACTACATAGTCCAGAAAAGAAAAACAAAGTTATTTTCTGCTCACAATCTTGCTACCTATTAGAAGATAGCTTTATAAGCCACCATAAGTCATGTGCATGTGGAAGAAGAAAAGGCCTGGTGAATAAATTATTCCAGGATATGAAAACACAGGGTAATGAATCCCTGTCACAATTTTAAAAGATGGTTTGGCTTCAGTGCATTGGCTATTTTACCCAATAAACAGCAGTGTTACTGTTTGACTACTAGAGGAGTAAATTGAGAAACTAACCAGCTAATACAGTCAAAGAGCATACTGTTTGAAAAAGAAGGGGCTATAGGCTACACACTTTGTGACCTGTGGTAGATTTCATCACCATCCTTGGACCTTCAAGGATAAAGCAAGGGCAAAAAAACTAACAATTTACAGGTACCACGAACAACCCACTAGTCTATGACCACCCCCCAGGTAAAAACAATCATTAGGAATTTTTCTATGGAACTTATTTTTATTTGTTTGAATAAATTAGGATGAAATTTGCATTTTACCTCCTCCTCTTGAGATCTTTTCTTATGAGCCATCTTGTATAACTTGTGTAACTTTCGAGCATCAAATTCTGTAAACTTGGAAACAAAAATCCATAGATTCCTGAAAAACAATAGTCCTGGTAAATTATAGAATTAAATAAATAGAATTTAAACTCATTAGAATATTCTGCAAATGTAAAAAAGTTACAAAAATATTCTCTCAGTCTTTGTATCAATAATGTATCTTTATATGCTTCTATCAAAAGATTTTGACTGAGGGATCCTAGACCAAGGAGTCTATCAATAGATTATAAACCCTGTAATTTATATCCATGGCATCTATGACTGCAGTCCTTTAAGTTTTCCTCCATCTTCCCCACTTTCTGAACACTGTCAATCATGTATCTTCACTACCATCGCCCATGAGGACCTTCATTCAGTTGGTTGTCTCTGTGTTGCCTTTCTTTTCTCCTAATCATCATCACTAAGGCCTATCATTTCTTCCTTTAAACTATCAGTGACTCCTTCCCTCCAATCCCATTACACTCACCTTAGCATGGCGTTACTACACATGCTACGGTAATATGATAAAATCTGCGTTTAGGAAGAGAGATACAGGTAATAACAGTGAATGGGGAAAAGACACAGGCTTTTAAGCTTTGTAATGGGCAAAACACTCATAAAGGTTCCTAATTAGTAAACTTCCTGCATGGGGTAAAAAGCCATTCACCTTAATTTCTAAGGCCCCTTATAAAGAGTATCAGTTTTAACAAGTTACCTATAAACTCTATAAAACATCTCCCAGTCACCTCACTGCCTTACTTTCAAGCTTTTCCTGAAGCCAAAGAATTCTGTTCATTTAAACAATTCCATTTGGCTTGCATATAAGCAGCTCAAATGTACGTAACTACCTGTCTCTCAGAAGACCTCCCTACTCAACTTCCCACCTTCTTTAGGCACTTCCTTCTCACAACTTCTATATTTTAGTTTTTATCACTTTATGATAAAGACTCTTAGAAGTCTTACCTTGTACTACTTTGAACTCTTTAACAAAAATGACTTTCCTATGAACTACAGCTAGCAAAGATCACAGTGTCTGAGATATTTAACATAGCAGATCCAAGTGCACAGTATGAAGCCTAACTTCAGGGATCCATGCACTAGGATAACTCTTGCTATTCTAATTAGGTTTAAAAAAAAAAAAAGTTACTAACAGTGTTAAGGGCATAATAAATAATAATTCAGATATCAAACATGCTGAGCATCCCTAATCTGAAAATCCCAAACTTTGAGTGCTCAGCTGATGTCACAAGTAGAAAATTCTACATCAGACCTCATGTGATGGGTCATAGTCAAAACACAGGTGTACTAAAAATATTATATAAAATTACCTTCAGGCAATGTGCAAGGTATATATGAAACATAAATGAATTTTGTTTAGACTTGATTCCCATGCGCAAATCAAGTAATTATGTATGTAGGAATACTACAAAATCTGAAACCTCTCTGGCTCCAAACATCTCAGATGAGACACTTCAACCTGTTTGTAAAGCGCTAGATCAACTATATCAACCCAAGCTACTACTAGAGTTCTTTAATTATTTAAAAAAAGGAGTTAAGAACAGAGAATTGACATTTCTTGTGGTCTTAACCTTTGTTTTGTCTCATGTGTTAGCACAGAACCAGCCAATTAGTTGTAGTAGATATAATATTATCTGAATGTTTGAGTATCAACCTGAGATGAGTAGAACACTTACACTAGATGGTCTTTCTATCCCTTATAGGTTTTTGTACTAGCAACTAAACTCAGGGGTGCTATACCACTGAACCACATCCCCAACCCTTTTTATTTTATTTTATTTTTTTTTATTTTGAGGCAGAATCTCACTAAGCTGCTACAATCCTCCTGTCTCAGCCTCTCAGGTTGCTGGGATTACAGGCATGCTCCCACCACACTATATTTCCTTACAGGTTTAAAGAGAATCTTTATTATGAGACTAGGCCAGCAAATCTAATGTGATTGTTTTTTTCTTACAAATTACATTAACATCTTGCCCCTTTCTAAAGGTTGGTCTCAGTAGAAAGGCCTATTTGATGAAAAAGAAGTTGTTGAAGTCTTAAGGCATGTTGCCAACAGATGAATTCTGTTAGGAAAACATTTTTCAGAGTTGGCATCCAACTGTATTAAACAAAAACAGAACCCCCACACAGTCATCAAATCAAACTGGGCAGATGCCAAGGCAAGGTTGGTTACCTCCTCCACAGTTTGATGTGCTCCTGGTCTGAGTAGGCTTTAAGGCACTCGGCTATCCGGTCTCCAATTTTGAGCAGGCAATTTCGGGTGTGTTCAAGCTGTTCTTGAACGTTGAGCCCCTTGTCGGGTTTGTCCAGCTGCTTCAGTGCCTTTTTCACTGGCCTCATCCTCTCCTTACACTGGAATAGGCCAGAAGAGTAGAGACATAAGCTATCTGCAAAAAGTCTTGCCCTTTGCTTACTGTGCCCTAACTTTCCACATCAGAGAAAACACAGCCCACCATCATGCCCTATAATCACTAAAGAAGGAGTAAATAACTAGGTCAATAGAATGAAACAAGCACAAACATAGAGATGGAAACCCTGAGGTGCAAATGCCAGCACCATCACTTATGTGGTAACATTTTACACCTTGTTGTTTTCTTATCTGCAAAAGTGTCAGTATAATGCTTCACAGGACCGTTATGAAAATCAAACGAGAATACTACAGACCTACCTTGGAAAATCCCCTACCATAAACTATCCAAAAAAGCAGGATAAAATATATATAAATTCTTTAGGCTTAAAATATAGTAATTAGATGGGCTTCCAGATAAAGATGATAAACTAAACACAAGAAATATTTTTTCTCCCTTCCTTATCTCACATAAAGATCTTTTTAAGTTGTCTTAATTTAAAAGAGATAAGCACATAAAGAAAGGGGAAATAAGAAGGAAAACAATAGCAACAAAATAATGGCAGTATGGAAAATGATGTAATAGGCCTGAGAAAGTGAAATCCTAAGCTAGCAATGCAGTCAGTATAGAAACAACCTGCTCTGGACTGTAAAATTCCCCCCAAAGGCCAGTGTCTCTGGGGTAGTGATGAGGGATAAAATAAGGACTGGTTTAAAAAACTGCATATGAAATAACAAATACCCAGATCCATAATTAACATCACCCAGCTCTTACTGCCTACTCAGTATCAGACATAGAAGGATTATTTTCTAAAGAGAACAAAAGAAAGGCCTCTATGCTAGCTATGCAGGCATACTTGAGGAGCAAGGGCACCACGGTGACAACTGGATTAAATGAACACATGTATACAACAAGAGCCACTAGCCAGTATTCTGATTTTGGACCAGTCAGATCAGGATTTTTTTAACAAAATTTACCCCCAGGAAGTACCAGAAGATGCTGACTCTGGTTCACTGGAGGCTTCCCAGTGGAAACAGCCAGGCTGGATTACCCTACAGCAAAAGCTCTCAAAGTCCTACTCACAGATCCAGAGTTTCCAATCAGATGTTTAGTTCCCTACTCTTGCCAATACATTTGAAAAATGTTTCTACCATAAAGAATAAAAAACAAAGTATGAAAACATTCAGAGAACCATAAGAGGGGAAAAGATCTTGGAAAGAAAATATGAAAAGATAAATGAGAAACTCAATAGAAAAAAGGAGAGATAAAGTTGAGAAAATATACCAGAAAGTAAAAACCAGAAATGAAAAATTTAAAAGGACAAAATTAGACTCTAATCTCCAGAGTCTGATATCCCAAAAATAAGGACCTCAATAAATCTAAAACTAAAAACAGAGAAACCAAAGTTATCACAAAACAATTCAAGAAAATTTCTCAGAATTGTAGGACGCTGAGTATCTAGCACAGTGAACTAGGCACTATTATAAAATAGTTTCATAATGAGGAAAATCCTACAAATTTCCATCACTTTTCAAGATGGTGGAATAGAGCAGGTTGCTTTCCAGGTCATAAAACCAAGAAGTAGATAGGAAGCTTCTACAGCAAGGTGGGTCAACAAAAATGGGGCGGTGGGGTCGGGGGCCGCTTTACTGGAGTTTAATAGTGGACCTTCAAAGCAGACTGGGAACTAAGAAAGTTGGATATAATAAAATAAGGAAGAAATCCCCAGTGCCACAGCTCATAAGATAGCCATAGGCACCACCAAGAGCAGTCCCCCCACAAGCAAATTGGAGGGATAAGGGAATTAAAGGAACCTGTATTTTTAGAAGGCCTGTGGCATGTATGGGTACCAAGAGTTTACAGATGAAACACACTGCCTTATGCTGCACAATATCCTTGTGTGAGAAAGAAGCCAAATTTCTCTCAACTGTGTGAGATGGACAGAGGAAGAAACCATTCTGCAGCCACAGGGTGGTGGGGCCAGCAGCTGAGAGAGCAGATTCCTGGCAAACCCAAGTTTGTGCCGAAATACAGGCCTCACAAACCCATACAGCAAGACATAGGGTATGCCTAAGTGAACAGGAAAAAATCAAACTTGGAGACAGGTTTACGCAGGGGACAACTGGTCATGGAAACCCACCCAGCATTTCCATTCCCCTCCAATCCAGCTGCTTGCAGGACCAGCTGGGACAGCCCCACCTGGCCCAGAATTAGAAAGGGCAGAGACGGGAGAGGTTGGATTTGGAGATTGAACCCAGGAAACATGGTATTCCTAGAGTCCGAAGGTAACCTAGTGGACTAAGAATTGGCTTCACCACCACGTGAGTGGAACCCAGGGGAGAGCCCTGGGGTGCATTCTTCCAGCATTGACTGTCAATTGCTGGGCCCAGGAGGTGCTCCAGACCAACTGGCATTGAGCAAAGAGCCTGGAACCTGACTAAACCTAAACCCTACCTCTAGGAGTTCTACCCATGGGATTACCTCTCACTCTCGAGCAACACCACCCTGAGGGTGGAGCAAGCATCATACTGCAGATGACCCCACTTACCACTACTGAGAAGGGAAGCTAAAAGTCTTTTTAATTCTAAAGGAAACAATTCTTAACTTTTCATTGAGATTTTTTTCTTCTTATTTTCTTTCTCTGTTTATTGTGACCTTAATGGTTCACAGACATTTATACACATCCATATTTGTTTGTTTTTCTCGTTTTTAGCATTTTTGAAGCCACTTATTTTCCATGGATCAGATTTTTTAGTACTAAGATGTTTGATTAGTATATTTCAGCTTTATATTCATTTATTTTTAAATTTTTAAAATTTTTACATTTATCTGCTTCCCTTTTCTTTCTCTTTTCTTCTACTAATATCTAATCTGTTGTTCTTTCCCTCTTCCTTGATTTTTTACTTCTATCTTCTCTCCTCCTCCCTTATAATCATCACATCCTACATCACTTCTGTTCTCAACCCTATCCATCATCCAAAACTATAAACCCTTCTGCAAACTTAGTGTTTTTATTGTAGGCAATAACTAATCATATCATTTCCACTTGTTGTGATAATTAACACTGTAAATGTCATAGCAGGAACTATTTGGTTTAATGCTGTATATTGTTTGCATTGGTGGTTGTTATTATTTGTCTCCCCCTAACCAGTCACATACTGGAAACCTTCAGAGACACTATAAATCTACATGGTAGAAACTCTACTGCCTCCGATTCATACTGTTAGATGGGGAGACAACACAAACAACATGGAAACGCAAGGGAACAAATCACCCCAAACCAACCAAGATACTTCAACAGAATCTATTGATACCACAGTGAAAGAAATGTCAGAGAAGGGAGTGTAGGATGTTCACAGTAAACCTGATCTGTATGGTAAAGATTGATGTAAGGAGTGAAATCAGAGATAAAATACAGGAAGTGAAAGATACTTCAATAAAGAGAGATTCTGAAAATAAAATCAAGCAGAAATCCTCAAAATGAACAAATCAATAAACCAAATTGAAAACGCTGGCAAGGATAGGGGGAAGAAGGTAGATTCATACATTGCTAGTGGGACTGCAAACTGGCACAACCACTATGGAAAGCAGTATGGAGATTCCTCAGAAAATTTGGAATGGAACTATCATTTTACCCAGTTATCCTACTCCTCTGCATATACCCAAAATCAACATACTATAGTGACACGGCCACATCAATGTTTATAGCAGCTCAATTCATAATAGCTAAACTATGGAAACAACCTAGGTGCCCTTCAAAGATTAATGGGTAAAGAAAATGTGGTATATATACACAATGGAATATTACTCAGCGTTAAAGAATGAAATCTTGGCAACTGCCAGTAAATGGATGTAACTGGAGAGTATCATGCTAAGTGAAATAAGCCAATACAGAAGAACAAAAGGCCCAATGTTCTTTCTGATATGTGGATGCTAACACACAATAAGGGTGGGAGGAATAGATTTCATGGGATTAGACAAAAAGAAATTAAGGGAAGAGGGGGGGATGGGAGTAGGAAAGATAGAATGAATCGGACATAACTTTCCTATGTTCATATATGAATGAATTCACAACCAGTGTAACTTCACATTACATACAATCATGAGAACAGGAAGTTATATTCCATGCATGTATAATATGTCAAAATATATGCTACTGTCATGTACAAACTAAGAGAATAAGAAAAAGTTTTAAATAAAATAGTTTTGGGGCCTAAGGAGTGTGTCTCAATGGTAAAGCACTTGCCTAGCATGTATGAGGCTCTGGATTTGATCCCCCAGCACCACAAAGAAAAAGAAAAGGTTAAAAAAGGAAGAGAGGGGGAAGACACCAAAAACTGGGAGACACTTGTAAATAACTGCGATATTCAAGACTATATAAAGGATTCTCACAGAATAAAATCAGACAAATTACCCACAAGAGGCAAAGGATATAAACAGGCAATTCACACAAATGTTAATGTCAAATAAATATAAAAATATAAATGTTAAAATACACCCCCAATCAATATTTCACAGCTCTCAGAATGGCAAAAATTATAATCAGAAATTGTCAACTATTTCTGAGAGCAGGGAAGCAATTGCAACTTAAATTCACCATAAGAAACCTCTACAATTGTTTTGAAGAATAATTCAATCATATTGAATAAAGGAGCACACATACATGCCCAAAGAGTGACCTAACATTTCTACTCCAGCCACACAGCCCAGAGAAGTTTCATATCTGTGTACAAAAAAAAATTGTAATAATTTCACTGCAGCCTTGTTTGTGATAGTTAACATCTGGAAAAACCCCAATGTTCATCAATAGCAGAAGAAATGAACTTTGGAAGTCATAAAATACAGTAACATGAAGCACTTAAATCAGAACCATAATGATCAACATGGTTAAATCTCAAAAGTATGAGACAGTAAAAGCAAATTACAGGATACACACAGTGCATCATAAGCTTTAAAACATGGAAAGCAATATTATATTTTGTTTACTGGTATACAGGAGGCTGAATGGTACAGTTGTTAAGGACCCAAGCTCTCCTGCCAAACTGCCTGGGTCAAAACTCTATTTTCCTGTCTTGGCTGCATGGCATAGGATATGTTACTCAACTCCATTCATCTAATTCTTTAATATGTAAAATGGAGATGGAACCTACCTTACAGACTTTTGTGGAAAATTTACAAATAAAGAACTCTAATAGTACCTGGCTGTTTATGTGTTACAGTCTTTACAGACATTAAGTTGTAAAATTCTAAAACCACACATAAGCCTAATTATCAAATTCAAGAACCATGCACACTTCTAGGAGGGAGGAAAGGAAAAGCATGGGTTTCGAGTGAGGAATACCAAGGGATTCCACTTTGAGTCTTAAAATGTATCTGACAACACTTCACTGAAGCTATAACAATGTCTACACTCCTGAAATTTTTCTGTATTTTTAAAATATTTCATAATATAAAACCAAGATTAAATGAGACTATGTATAAGAACATTTTAAATTTCATTTATTTCTCCATTAGAGATATGATCTCGCTATGTTAACCAGGCTGACCTTGAACTCCTGGGCTAAAGCAAGACATCCACCTCAGTCTGCCAGGTAGCTGGGACCATGGTTACATATTACTATGCCTGGCTTATAAAAACATTTTCTAAAATGGTACTATATAAGCATGATATTATTTTTATTTATAAACAATGGACTAAAGAAAAACTAGGAAACAGAGCAGAGAGCTGGGTATATAATGAATTCATTAATTTACTTATTTTTTATTGATATACTTCTAGCATCTAAGTGGATTTTAAATAATACATATGCTTGCCCCTAGAGAGCTCAGAGGCAGAAAAGATAATTAAGAAAACTGAGATAACTACAAAAATCATATGCATGTATGCAGGTAGGTTTTAGAGAATACAGAGAAGAGGTCAAAACACAGAGAAGACTACCTCACAGGATGGAGTCAACATTCCATTCTTTGCTGCCACAGAATTTGGAGTATTTCCAAATTCAGAAAAAGACTACCTTTTCTTTTAGCCTAAATAAGCTGTTAAGTGAACTGTGACTTGTGGAAGTTTGGACAGAGGAGACCACAGATGGGGAAGTGGTAACTGAGGATTTGCAGCATGATGAAATCTACGCATGCAACTCTATCAACAGTTGAAGGGCCCCTGAAGACACACTGATCTTATCCCAATCCCATGCCAGCCTGATCTGTGTACTCTCTGCCCATCACCTTCCTCACCTATTATGAGGAAATGGAGCCATATTTCCTAGGTAATGTGTTAAATCTTAGCACCACAACATGGAAACAAGTAAAGACAGCACATTCACCACTGCTCTATATACTAAACAGGACCCTCCCTCCAGCATCAGCTGGACTTGCTCTTACGACTGTGGCTGCAGAGGCCTCTGTCACCTGCTCAGTGCATCCTATGGAATCCTGCTACATGACCTTTGAGCATGCCATTGCCTAGACTTGGCATGTCCTTCTTTCCCCTCCTCTCCAATTACCCATCACACTTCTTTCAGAACCTAATTCGAACATATCTTCCTTAAGCCTTCTGACATCTCTTGACTAGTTAAGTCTCCTTCTCACAGGATCTTCACATTATCTAATCTCTCTCATTCCCGGCCCCATTTCAGCAATGCTAGCATCATTCATGTAGTTATCTATGGCCCTGACTCAAATACAAAGTCTACAAGAATAGAAACAATTACCTATTCAATATGGTAACCTATAGTTGGTACAGGAGAACATTCAATAAATGCTAGTTTAGTGAGCATTTCTGTTTCCCAGATGCCTGAGGGTCCTCAAAGACTTTCCAACTGGGAGCACAAGACATGAAATCTTAGACTTATTCCTCAGTAGAGAACAAGAACAAGTTAAAAAAAAAAAAAAAAAAAACTAATCTCTTCATGCCAACCTGGTTCAGAACACAGTCTTCAGACATCAAAAGCAGTGTGTTTCCAAAATAACACACCAATGTTTATATCAACTGAAGCTCTGTGGCTGCGCCTATAAAGGGCAGAGCCACAGCAAGCACTGTGGTCACACACCAGCATCCCTTAATTTCAGCACTTACAATACTGAAGGTCTCCTGGTCCAGATCATCATCCTCATCCTCTCCAATGGGGACAGGTTCACTTCCTGCTGTAATATGGACTGGACCCTGAGATCGCTTTGATTTACTTGAAGATTTGGCTTCACCACCTTTAGGCTTTAAAAAAAAAAAAGAGTTACAAGGAATCATTGTCATTTGTACAATCCTGCCTTGCAATGTGGACTTCTTATCTGTAGTGGGTGACTACAACAGTGTCACTTTATACCAACTTATAAGATTAATAGCTCAATCATACATTATTTCCATGCCTGACTCTAAAAGCACTTAATTGTAACTTCAATTTCATCAATGCTATATTTGGTGCTCTATTCCCTCATCCAGAAAATGCACAAAAATGTCATCAAGAGATTAAGACTATAAACTGATAGAACTCTTCCTGAGTATCATATAGCAATTTTTATTAACAGCTTACTCTTTGATGTAGGAATGTGTATTCTGAAATCTACATGAATCAACATGGATAAATCTCAAAATTACATACAACAAAATATTACAGAAGGACATATATATATATATATATATATATATTATATACCCCCACTTTAGAATAAAGGTTATAAGGAAAATAGGAAAGGAAAAGTAATACAATCAGGAGAAGCTATAAGGACAGCAGCTTCAGTAGCAACTAATAAGTAGTAACTAATAAGTTCAGTAAGTGAACTAATGAATACAAAACATTAACCAAAAACAAAGCCACTTCAAATAAACATGAAAAAATTGTCAACAATAGTTATGAGAGCAATAGACAATAGATGTTTGCTAAACTATTCTTGTATTTCTTTTTATTTAATATATATATATTTTTAGTTGTAGTTGGACATAATACCTTTATTTATTTTTATATGGTCCTGAGGATCAAACCCGGGCCCTCAAACGTGCTAGGCGAACGCTCTACTGCTTAGCCACAATCCCAGCCCCCTGTTCTTGTATTTCTATTGTTGAAATATTTCATTTTTAAAAAAAAAAGAATGACTTAGCCAGGCACCTGCCTTGTTTAGCAAGACCCTTAGGAACTTAGCGATACACTGTCTCAAAAAGGACTGGGGATGTAGCTCATCCTGGAAATACACCTGGAATAAATCTCCAAAATAAATAAAATTGAATGTCTTTCTGTGGACAAATGCAGACATATTTGTCAGAGTATGATTTATACTGTTTAAATTGGAAAGCAGCCAGGCATGGAGAAGAATGCCTGTAATCCCAGATACTTAGAAGGCTGAGATTAGAGGATCACAAATTCAAGGCCAGCCTGGACAAATTATAAAATAAAAAGGACTGGGGTCGTAGCTCAATGGTAAAGGTCCCCAGTTCAATTCCCAGTACTGCCAAAAAAAAAAAAAGCAATTTCAACATGGGAGATTTGAATTGCTTCCAATAAGTTATAGCTAAACAAAATTCTCTCTACCTATTAAACATTCTTTTTAACACTTGTTTATTCAATGAAAAGCTGCTTACTGCTAAGCAGAAAGAAAAGGCTACTCAAATGGTCTGAACTAATTTTTATTCTATTTTTGTACTTATGTGCATAAGAGAAAAGTTTCAAAGGTACCACTGGGTGGTAGAATAGAGGTGTTAATTTTGTGTTTTAGCAATGATAAGTGAGTAATTACAATTGTTCTTTAAGAAGTCAGCAAGCATACATCCAATACTGTACTAATCCTGTGGTTTGGAATGAACTTCAAAAAGGTCCCAACATGAAGATTTTATAGCAAGGCTTTCTATCCGTGTCTACTGCAAAAATTCTTGCTATTTGTTCCAAATCCTAAACTCTCCAAATTTCCAAATCCATTTGTGAATTGTGCTCTTCTAATATGAATCTAAGAACGTGTTTCAAGCAGTTACCTGTTCATGCAAATTCTCTCACTTGTCCTATCTCACCTCAAACATCCCCCTCCCCCAAAACATGTATAAAAGATCAAGTAAAGGCCTTGTATATTAAAGAATATCCTGAACTTGTGCGTGTACACATGCACACACATACACGCACAAACACCCCTCTGCAAGGATTGGTGCAAGCATACCTCTGACAGCCCCATCTTTTTTCTTGAATATACTCATAAAAAGAGAGTCCAGTGCCCTCAATCTCCATTCCATTTCTAGATCTAAAAATAAATTTCAGAGGCTCTGGGTATCTCCAATAAGCAGAATGGCATCATTACCTTCTCTTTCTTATCTTTTGACTTCTTCCTTTCTTTGTCCCCTTCTTTGTCTTTCCTAGAACTCATTTGCTTCTCCTTGTTCTCTTTGTTCTCTTTCTTCTTCTGTTTTTTCTTCATTGGACTTTTTTCTAAGCCATCATCCTAGGAAACAAATAGGGCTATGAACTTTTGCCTTCAACTTTATATCTACTTGTTTACTTCCTCGAGAAAGCAGCACTGCTCTCAGTGATTCATCACTGTGCTTAAACCTAAAAGCTTGTTTTCAATCACAGAGCTTTAAAGCACTCATTTGCACAATTCTCAATTCTCTAGTAATGACCAGTGCAGGCAGATCCTCTTTATTTAAATCATCTTATGTAATTCTCATAACAACTCTTTGAGATAGGTATTATCAGCTGCAGGTGTAGCTCAGTGGTCAAGCATTTTCCTAGCACACATGAGGTACTGAGTTCGAATCCCAGCAGTGTTTTGGAGTCACTATCATTCCCATTCCATAGACAGAAAAAAACTGAGAATTAAAGAAAGTAAAGAGATTGTATACCTGTCTAGTCAGCTAGTAATTGATAAAGTTCTAATATCTGAATTCACATATGCAGACTCAAATCCATGCTAATTCCTATAATCTCAAAGTATTACACTCTAAGAGCAACCAAATAAAATCCAATAAAGTTGTCACTCATGGAAATAATACTGAATAATACTAATTTACTAACTGGCAGACTTTGGGCCAAACCAGACTCACAAGGTTTTGTTTGCACATACAATTGACTTTATAGTACATGCCCCTTTATATAAGCCTGGGCTTTCTTTCAATATTAGTATTGGAATATTGCCTAATTACCCAAATGAGGCTAAGTACCAATTGCCATTTATTTATTATTAAAATATTCATGGTTCCACACATTAGTTCTATCAGTTATGAATTTGCAACTACATTCTTCTCCAATAGATTAAGCAAAATATATATACATAAATCTACATGTAAACGATTTTATACCAGTTGGCACAATATAGACCTAAAAGAATAATAATAACCCTCAAATAAAATCTACCCTTATACCTTTACTTCTCCTTCCTCTGATGGATTATCTGAGTGTCTAGGAGATGAAAACTCAAGTCCATGCTCATCTTTCAACCTCGGTGCTTTGTTTTCCTTTTTTACTCGAGGCTTCCGCTTTTTTAATTTGGCCTGGGGAAAAAAAAGAAAATAATGATAAAATTACAAATCAAGTCCTTCAAATGCATGACAAATAACATTTGATCCTTTGAAGCAGTAGTAGCTACATAATTAAAACAAGAAAGAGTCCAACTAATTTTACCTCGAAACAAAACAAAATATAAAACCCTGTAGGGAGAATACATATCCCATACTATATAAAGACATCCATATTCCTTGAACCTATTGACTCAACTTTTTTGGAATTTGTCCTAAAGATAGAATTTTTGCCAAAAAGGGCAGGCAGTACCTTATATACAAAAATAGAAATAAAAATAACATATTACAGTCAGGGATGTGGTTCAGTGCTACGACACTTGTCTAACATGCATAAGGCCCTGGGTTCAAACTCCAGTACCACTAATAATGATAATAATAAAAATAAAAATATTAAAGATAACAATATTAACAATAAAAATCCTAGAAACAAAGTACTTTATTAGCAGGGTGCAATGGTGCAAAATCATAATCCCTGTGACCCAGGAGGCTGAGGCAAGAGGATCACAAATTCAAAGCCAGCCTCATCAACTTAGTAAGGCCTAAGTAACTTAATAAGACCCTGTCTCAAAAAATAAAAAGAGTTGAAGATGTAGATCAGAGGTTAAATACCCATGGATTCAATCCCCAATCCCAAAATAATAACAACCAAAAAAAAAAGTACACAAAAGTATTTTATCTAAAAATAAGAAAAAGGTTAAAATATTTATCCACTCAAATATGATACAGAAATCTAAAACACCTCTATCTAAAATCTAAAACATAATAATATTACACATTCACTATATTACATAGTATCTGCAGAATGATATGCTATATTATTATACTATTGCCTGAAAAGGGTAATTTTGGGGGGAATGAGGTGGTGCTAGGGATTGAACTCAGGGGCACTCAACCACTGAGCCACAACCCCAGCCCTATTTTGTTTTTTAATTAGAGACAAGGTCTCACTGAGTTGCTTAGTGCCTCACTTTTGCTTAGGCTAGCTTTGAACTCACAATCCTCCTGTCTCACCTCCCAAGCTGCTGGGATTACAGGCATGCACCACCATGCCCAGCAAGAACAAGGTACAATTTTTTTCTACAATTTGTTTTATTTATAATACAAGGAAACTAACACAAGTGGCATATCTATAAAAGAGCACTTAAGAAACATGCACACACACAGACTGTAGTAGAGGATGTAACTTATATTATCTCATAACTATGATTCCCCATCTTTCTAGGCCTGAACTGAAATGGTAAACTGGGAAAATAAAGGAAGATAAAGTTCAGATAAATTCATTAGCAGCTCAGTTGGTATTTTTCAATTAGCTAGTAAGATACTCATAACTGAAGTTCAGTTTTTTATATTAACTGTGGATTCCAACTGTCCATTTTACTCCTGGGATCCATTATTACAAGTAGCCCAATTAGATACAATAGACAATCCTTATGTTCCCAAACTGAGGAAGCAGAAAAAGGGAATAGTTAACAGTACGTCTGAACTAGTGGCACTGAGGACTGTGAGGATTAATGATTCAGTATTTGAAGAGAATGGGTTTGTAAGAAAATTGCCAAGATGTTACAGTCAATTATTAAATGCATATTTCTATTATTACCAACCAAACCATAATCATGGAACCTCAAAAGCAGTATTTGATCATGGAAAGGTAATGTTCTGTGCAGGGCCCGGAAAGGATATTTCTTTTTCCTACCTAAATCTGTGGGGTTGGAGCCTTGGAACCCTGAAAAACACCCAGCTGACAATGCACTCACTCACCTCTTCCCCGCCTGTCACAGCCCCCTTCTTCTCCAGACCCTTCCTGAGCAGCTTCAGCAAGTAATCCGCTCGAGTCTGTAGCTGCTTCCCCTGAGGCTTTTTATCTGTCTCCACAGGCAGAATCTTCAACAGGAAAGGAAGAGAAGCACCCGCCACCACCCATAACCGGTTAGTAAATGAGGATAAACAGGTAACAAAGAACTCAGCACAGTTCTTTCCCTCCCCAACCACCCAAAACATAGATAAAGCCTCAGATCCTATCTCATGTCCATGGCTCCCAGTCACTGAAAATCCCTTATGAGCCGTTCTCATTTTACAAAATGGGATGGAGAAATCCAGCTCTCCCACTGGCTCCTACCTGTGCTGTTAACAGGGTAGAACAACTCAGGTAGGAGGGGCTTGTGGCTTCATCTGCTAGAGCATCCCAGCCGTCGTGGATTTCCTCCTTCCAGGAGCAGGGAATCCCTGGAGCTAGGTTAAAGCTTTGTTTTAGATTGAAAATGCTTCTTAGAGCATTGCCGGAGAGCATTGAGCTATGCCAGGACATGATCTGCTCCCTGCTACCACAGTTGGACCTCTCAGGCCAGACTGGATTTGGTCTCAGTGCTTATGACAGGGTGCTGTCACCCTCCTAAAACCCAGATGGGATGAGCATTGTTTGATGTGCCAGGAAAAGCCCTGCTAGGAGCATCACCTGGAGCAAATCCTACAAAAATTTAAGCCAGTTTTCCTTGTGTTCAGCTCTAACTATGGCCTTTTTACTTGCAACAGACAGGGTGGGAGGCTCAATTTTGTGGGAGAAATACTGTCAAAATTTAATTCCACTACAAGAAATACCAAGGCGACACTCATTCTTTGTGTAAAGAAATATGGTTGTTTCAAACATACTCTGAAAGAAAGGGCCAACAACGGGGCCTAGAAGTGCTTTTATTATTAATAAACTTACCCTGGTATTTGTTGTAATGAGATCTGACCTCTAGTAAATATCAATATTTTAAGATTTCTCCTAAAATTTCATTTGGCTATTTTTTGTCTTTCCCTTTATCATTATCTGTGAGACAGAGCCACAGTCCATTAAAGATGGCAACATTTCCAAGGATAAAGAAATCCCAGGAAATTACTATTCTGTTAGTATTCAATTTGATCACCCCTTCTTGAAAATAGATAAAAATAAGTAATCAATAGAAAAAAGTATACAATAAATGTAGCAATCTCTAGCATCACAGAGTTACTTACTTTATCTGTCAGTTTCAACTCTGGGTCCGTCTTAATTAACTCCCAGTTTCCATAGCCATGTTCATAAATTCCTAGCAGCAAGCGAGAGTCATCTTCCACTCCCCACTCTACATCAAAGTGTGCAGCTTTCACCCGACAGGTTAAGCAGTATCTAAATGGGGTTTAAAAACAGGAGGACATTACAAAAGAGAATTTTCTGAAATATTAAAGAAGAGAGAATGAACAAACTAAATAACTACGTGTAACTAATATCAAACCTATGTTCAACCACCCTACATGTACCACAAAATATACTCACTTTTTTTTTTCTTCAGGGTCCACAGGGATGGATTTATGCAGCATCTCAAACTCTTCTTCATGTTGGATAATGGATTTCACATTAACCTGAACTCCAGATATCTTGATTGTTGGACCTCTCCTTTTCCCTGGCCCTTTCCCTAATAAACACAAATTTTACAATTCTTAAATGAGAACTATTAAAGTTTCAGACACAACATTATCACCATTTATCACTATGAGTCCTGAACTCTTAGTCCCTTCTCTATAATCCCTGGTTTATCGTTAATTCAAAGATACAATCTATAAAACAAACATTTTTTTCAATTAATATTTATATTCAATTAATATGTACAAAACAGAATTGTGCAAAACACTTAAGAGTTTCTTTAATATACTGATGCTTGCAATTATAATTTAACTCTCCTATTTTTATATGACTATTCAAAAACTAACATAAACTAACATAAGAAGACTCTGAAGGTATCATATTATGAAGTTTCTTCCTTGTTTTCCTACCGATCCAATTAGCAGATTTTTTACAAATTCAAATGTTTTAAAGATGATTCATACTTGACCTTCATAATATTGAAACTGAAAAAGTATAGGATCACAGAAACATCTAAACCATTTGAAATGATAAAGATGAAAAGGTTGCCCTAATCTATATGATTATAATGATCCACGTCAGGTGCAGCAGTGCACATCTACAATTCCAGCCTCATGGGAAGCTGAGGCAGGAGGACATTAACTTGGAGATCAGCCTCAACAACTTATGGAGACCTGTCACAAAATGAAAAAATTTTAAAGGGGCTAGGGATATAGCTTAGTGGTAAAGAGTCCCTGGGTGAAAGGAAGGAAGGAACGGATGAAAAAAAGAATGAAGAAACGAAGGAATGAATTTCAATGATCCGAGAAGTAAAAATAAAACCCAGTTACTCTAACCAGAGAGACCAAGTTGAAATCTGCAAGATAATGCCACTTGTTAAGTGAGAATAAAGACGGTTCTCGATAGAAAGTGAGCTAAATATATGAAGAACCAGTTTATGAACAACAAAATGTTAGTACTCTTGGACATGCACAGCCTTGCTCACTACAAAAAAAAAAAATGAAATGAAATGCATTTCTCATTTATGAGCAAAATATCCAAGCAATTAAAATATATTCTGTTTGTGAGGCTTGTTAATAGGTACTAATAAATATTTCTGTTGGTAATGTAAAAGGCACTAGATTTATAAAGGAGGATTTGCAATCTCAAAGCGAAGCATCCTCCAGGCTCCAGCAGGACCCACTTCTAGAAATCTATCCCAAAGACATGCTGACTAAGATATATATATTTAAAAAAATAATTTCATTAGACCATATTTATTCTTTGTGAATTTATTTGTAACAGCAAAAGAGGAAAAGAAACCCATCAATAGGGAACAAAAAAGATAAGTTGACACACATCTACATGGAAGAATTCTGGGAAATTGTAAAAGAAAGGAAGATGATCTCTACATGACATGGAGTGCTTTCAGATATGAAGCTAAATTAAGTGTACAGCAGAGCATGTATTATGTTTTCATCTGTAGAAGAGGAACTAAACTACACAGAAGCTTAGATTTTTTTTAAAAAAAATAGAATAACAAACTCAAAACCTTAGATTAGGTAGAGGGAAGTGATGGGAGGGAAGCAGAGGGAATGTGGGAAAGACAGTGGAATGAAACAGACATTATTACTGTATGTATATATGTGACTATATGACCAATATGATTCTGTATCAAATACACTCAGAAAAATGAGAAATTATATCCCATCTATTATGATATATCAAACTGCATAAATGCATTCTACTGTCACGTACAACTAATTAAAACAAATTTTAAAATTATTAGGGATGGTAACCAAAGAATTAGAGGAGAACAGGAATGGAAAATAGGGATGAAAGTAAGACTCTCCAAATATACCTTATTTTACTCTCTTTACTTTGGACCATGTAAGTGTTTTAGCAATTAAAAAAAAAAAAAGTTAAATCAGAATAATAATGCTTCCTAAAAATTAAAAATAAATATAAACAAGGGTCTATAAATTAAGTTGATGGTATAACCATATACAGAAAAGAACAATTTCAAATAGTTTTTAAATACTGTACATTGTTAGTGGGAATATACTAAGAACATAAAAACATACCAAAAAAAATCAAACTTTGTGTGAGAGTCTTATTATAACAGGAAGATTAGCATTGACATTTGGAAATGTATGCATATAATTGTTAATATTTTCAGAAACAATATCAATAATCTTACATTGAAAATGGAAATGTCAACCTGGACTAAAAATATGTTAAATACAAGTGTATAGGAAATACAGGTTTAGGGGAATCAAATTATACAATGCCAAGAAGAAGCAATTAACCAGATCCAGAATGTAAACATGCAGAAAAAGAGGGATGTGCAAGAATAAAATTACAGCATTTGCCAATAAATATACAGAATGCAGAGCATCAGGCTAAGTGAAATAAGCTAGATTCAGAAAATCAAGGATCTATTTTCTCTCATGTGCAAAAGCTAGAGCAAACTGAAGGAAAAAGGGGGGCTGTGGATAGGACACCATAAGGATAGAGGAAAGATCAGTGGAATACAAGAAGAAAACTGAGGGAGAGGCAGGAGAAAAGGAAAGGAAACAGGCGATGGATTTAATAAAATTATACTATGTGCATATATAAATACACCACAGTATATTATCTATAAAGCACCAACTAAAAATAAATATATAAATAAATAGAAAGAACAACAGTATAGTACAGGTAGGGAAATGGAGGGAGGAGGGGAAGAAAAGAAGAGACTCTGGGGACAAAAGTGGAGCAAATTCCATACATGCATGATTTATGTCAAAATAAGCCCAACTTGCTGAGCATGGAGGCGCATGCCTGTCAGCCTAGTAACTCAGGAGACTGAGGCAGAAGGATCACAAGTTCGAAGCCAGGCTCAGCCACTTAGTAAGACCCTGTTTCAAAATAAAAAAGTCTGGAAATGTGGCTCAGAGGTCCATTACCTCCCCTCCCCGCAAAAAAAAAAAAAAAAAAAACCTATTATTTATAACTATAATGTACTGATGAAAGAAAAAATTTAAAAAAAAAAGAGATGTGGAGAGGAAGGAACTATTAGACGGAAATATCTCCAAAATATACTGAGATGAGATGAGCACAATGATGCACGCCTATAGTTCCAGTGGCTCAGAAGGCTGAGATTTGCAATATCAAAGCAAAGCATGTATATATCCCCCTCAGCAACTTTAGCAAGGTCCTAAGCAACTTGACAAGACGCTGTCTCAAAATATGTGCCTCAGTGGTTATGTGCCCTTGGGTTCAATCCCAGGTATCAAAAAAAAAAAAAAACAAAAAAAACACTGAGGTGGAAAAAAATCAATGAATAGAGCAGTATGCATACCACACTACCTTTAATTTGTGTTTAAGAGGGAAAACACACAATCTATATAAAACACACACACACACGTTTTTCTAAATTTCTTAAAAAGAGACAAACACTGGGGGCTATGTGTTTTTCATTTTTGAGCCATGTTTATTTAATTTGAAATAATTACAAAGAAAAAAACATGATAAACCTAAAGTTACTTTTGGATGTATTTTAGATGCTGTAAAAACACATATTCAAAATCTCAGGCTTTTATTTGTCTTTTGAAAACAAATTTATTTGAAACAATGGCCCCAGGAATGTTAAGCAAAAGCTATCCCTCTGAGCTACACCCCCATCCCTAAAAGTACATATTCAGATTATTATCCAAATCACTCAAGCTATTTTCTTTTACCAAAAAATATTTTTAATATATATCTAAATTACTTTTAATTTCTTTTCATTAAAGTACAGCAAAGTTTATTAAAAGGGAAAGGAGGAGGAAAGCACCCTCAAGGAAGACAGTGGATCCTCTCAGAGGAGAGCAATCAAATTCTACTAATTTCAAAAAGAAGCCCTAAAAAAAAGACAATTCCAAAATATAAATAATTAATAGACAACAGTGAAAGCCAGATACTACATTAACAAGCAGTTAATAGTTCAGTAAGAACTATTCAATTAATTACCCAAACTTTCTTATTACTATTATTCCATTTTGCAAATGAAAGAGTTGAGGTAATTTAACTCAGAAGTCTTAACCAAACTTTTAGGTAACTGGTTGCCTCTGGCATCTGAACCACAGCTCAACAAAACCTCCAAATAATAGGTAGCTTAACAATACCTTCATTTCTATGAGGTGTCCTTAAACAATGACTACTTTAGAGCTCTCGTAAACATGCCTGTACCTCTAAAAAATAAAAAATAAAAAAACATTCTGATATCTAAGAGAAAACGTACTTCCTAGATGTTCGATCCAATTTTTAAAAATTCTACTTGATGAACATTTCAATGTAACAAATGTTTACAACTGTCATTCAATATTTTATCTATTCCAATTAATTTTCTAAGTTCTTTACATTTGTAGCAACCTAAGAATACATATATGTATATCCAAATAATTAATGATGTTTGTGGAATGTAACACCCCCTCATTTGCAAACAAAATACAGAGGCATCCATTCAGCTTTGTCCCTCAGGTCTTTGTATCATTCAAACCAATTTAAACTTTCTATAGCAACATAACACTAATCATTTCATCTTGTTAATTATTCTACACCTTTACAAACCAACTCCATTTGTGTGTAGATCTATGGGATCTTAGAACACTGAGCTCAGGAAAAGGCAGCTCAGAATGCACACCATAAAGCAGGAGGCAAGCCCTTCAGCAACAGAAATAGACCAGACCTTTAGCACCAGAGTGCTACAGATGATCTGTTAACTCACCCTCACTGGCATTTTCTTTCAACTGTTCTTCATATTCCTGCATAGCTGACACACAGCTATTGTGAATCAGTTCACCCAGGCGTTTCAAGTCTGCCACAGACTTATCCACAAGCTCAGCATCTCGTGCTATGCACTCCAATCTAAGGAAGGACAAACATGGACACTTTTCTCAACATCACAAGATAATACTACGTCTCATATAAGTTTGCTCCTACAAAGACACTTTTCTCTGCCTTCATTCATGGCTCATTAACAATAACAACTGCTTCACATTAACTAAGAGCTAACTCACTCATTTTCCATCTTTAAGAATTGTGCCTTAGGATATTTCACAAAACCAAAGTAATCTCAAAAATTTAAAATGAGAGGTTTCAAAACTTAGTTTATTAAACAAATGGGCTATCTGCTACTGTCAGTATATGACATGCTTAAAGACTATTGCATCTTTCTATTCACTTTCCTTTCTCCACTCTACCTTCACTCATTGCAATGTTCATAGAAGCACAGTATAGCTAACTTCTCCAATGTATTCAGATCATCTCTAAGTTGTAGGGAGCACATAAACACAAAGGCTAAAAATCATGATGTCAAAAGGAACCAAACCTACTTCATCCACATGTTGGTAGTTGTTAAGGTAACTGGTTCAAAGATAAATATGGAGGTCAGCCAAGTCCAGGAAAGATGTGCCTGACTTTTGCAATTTTGCTGTGACTCACTGCTATACATCACTGCTTCCTCTCCAAATGGAAAGCATAAAACCAAAAACACAAGCTTGGAATTTTCACCAGAACAGTATCAGAAATAAGAGAGGGGAAACTGGCATATGCTTTAAATTGGTGCTATTATTTACAGGATATATTGTTGATTTTTAGAAAACAAAATACTTAACTACTTGAAATAAGTCTTATGTTAAAATCCAACTTCTGAAATCATATTTTGAATGCTTGTAGAGTAGTACCAATAGCTAACCATTTTGTAAGTCACTACAGGCAAGGTGATATAAGTTATATTTTTAATCTTCACAATACCTTGTAAAAATGTACAAGATTACTAAGTCAAAAAGACATTACTAAATCTAAGAATTAAAACATAAATAACCCAGCCTCTTCAGCTATAGTTACCTAAACATCTCTTTGGGAAACACACTGTTTTGAATTTACTTGATTTACCTCCCCCTAAGGTATAAATCTCTGACTGGTCTATCTGTATCATCTTCATACCCTTCCAGAAAGGGACATGCACCTGATTGATATGTTTATGAAAGAATACTGTTTCCAGGGGGGAAAAAAAAGTTCCCAGAATATTAAAAGAAAAATATTACCAGAGAGAGAGAGAGAGAGAGAGAGAGAGAGAGAGAACTTGCTATACAATAAAGCTGAAAAAGAGGATAAAGAATTATCACTGAGCTTACCGTTCAAGAGGGAGACCAAACTTCTTATAAGCCTTGATGAACCTAAGAATATGATCAAAAAAAAAAATTAAAACCCAGGAACCAGTTATAACACATCCTGTAATGAAATATGAGCCATTCAAATTGTCAAAAATAGACTGGCAACACCCAATCTTTGCAACAATCACTAAATAAATAAACATTGAGCATCTTTGAAAAGAGATAACTTAAAATAATAAACATTAAAGATTTAACTTTATTTTCAGTGACTGATCAAGAAATTTCTTGGAGCTGTAACAGAGAATTGTGAGTTTAGAAGATGTGAGTTTATGAAGTTCACTATGTAATAAATGACTCAATCACCACAAGTCTATTGTGATAAAAACCCAGTATCATTCATTGGCCTACTTAAGTCTATATAATATAATATTTTTAATTATTTTCTGTTCAATAATACAGCCATAAGATTTATATGACTTTCTCCAACATTTTTTAAAATTAGGCAGAATAAAATAATTGACTTGAAACTTCTTAGGCCAAACTATTTTGAAATTCTAGTCACTCCTGCCCAACCATAAACCCAATCTCCTTCAATAGTCAGTACCTTAAACTATGCTATATATAGCCTGTGCTAACACCTTCTCCCCATCTGCAATGCTTACCACATAGCACTTTCACTAAAAAGCAAGATGTCACAATAATGTCAAGGACATCATTGTAATATGCCAAATTACTATGACAGTATGGTATGTAATAGTGTAAGGAGAGTGCTAAAAAAAAATGGAAACAGAGGATATGGCAACTGAAGAAAACAGGAGGGAATATAACAGCTATGAAATACTAAAGGAAGAACAAGGACTAGGAAAGTGTTAAATATGAAAGCAAACCTGAAGATTATTCCTCAACTCTACACTTTTCCTTCCTGAAATATATTGAAATGTTTCACTTCTAAAATAATGGTTTGAGATTTACCGGAAAATTATATGGGAGCTGGGTATGCATGTAGCTCAGTGATAATGTCCTTACCTAGCATGCTCAAGGCCCTGAGTTTAATCCCTAGCAACAAAAAAAAAATGATGATGAAAAAGATGATGATGTTGTTGATAAATAATAATACCAGGGGAAAAAAAGGTTCCCGGTATTAGTATTAAAAAGAAAATATTACCAAAGAAAAGAACCAATACCAAGGGGGAGAAGCACTTCCAACATAATAGAGTAAGGAACTCAAAAAATCTGCTCCTCCATAAAAATAATAAGAACACCAGCAAAAACTAACAAAACTCAATTACCAGAACTCTGTCAATTAAGAAAATGTTCACTGTCAACTAAGAGGCATCTGTTTAAGAAAATGGCTGCATCTGTTAAGAACATCAAGTTGCCAGGTACAGTGGCACACACCTGTGATCCCAATGCTTTGGGAGGCTAAGGCAGGAGAACTGTGATTTCAAAGCCAGCCTCAGCAACTTAGTGAGGCCCTAAGCAACTCAGCAAGACCCTATCTCTAAATAAACTATTAAAAAGGTCTGAGGGGGCTGGAGTTGTGGCTCAATGCTAGAGCATTTGCCTAGCATGTATGAGGCACTGGATTAGATTCTCAGCACTGCATATAAATAAATGAATAAAATAAGAGTCCATCGACATCTAAAAATATATACTTAAAAAAAAAGGGGGGTCTGGGGATGTGGGTCAGTGGTTAAGCACCCCTGGGTTCAATCCCAGATTCCAAAAGAAAGAACAGCAAGCTTTCTATCAACTTGCTTTATTCCCATCTCCTTCTACTTGTTCCAGCAGAGTCTTAAAAACCAACATTTTTGCAACTACAATGATTATGCTAACCTGTGACAGAGCAGCCACTAGAGGAGAAAGAACAGGTTTGGAATGTCATAAGAGCCCTATCCCTTGCAAACAGAGCTACTTGACCTGACTCAGCACCTTGAAAAGCTTCATTCAAAGAAAGAAGTCAAAGATGACTTAGGACTCTTTCTGCACAGCCCTGTTGACAGTTCATTGGTCAAAAACAATCAGATGCAGATGTTCAACATCACACTGATCAGGGCAACATAATAAGTTGGAATAAAAAGAAATTGATCAAAAACTGGAAAACTGCCCATAAAGCACCCTGAAAAGCTATGATATTCTCAAGAGTCAAGAAGACCACACATTTGTATGTCTGTATGCATGTCAGGAAAGATCTTAGAAGGTCCTATCCTCTCAATTCTAGCTGACCTTGATGATCTGGCACATGCAGGAATTTAAAATTAAGGCAGAGTTGTAAACTGCCTCCGATCGCACTGAAACGTGCCCTAAGATACATACTAAGTCCCTCAACAAAGGTAGGCAGATCTTAAAGAAAAGCTCTGCCCAACCATTAATTAACTTCTCAGCCAAAAGAACAGACTTCAAAAAACATGAACAAAGAATACAGACTTCACAGAACTAGCCTAGGAAAGTCAGTGAACAAGCAAACAATAGCAAACACAGTAAACTCTGGCTAGTGAGGCAAATCTGATTCTGAATTTAATACATTACATTTAAAAATTACAGAACACACCAAAATGCGGGGAGTGGGGAGGGGTTAAAAGTACTATACCTGAAGAAGCCCAGAACTTACACTCATAAAACAAAGATGTTAATCTGCTATGACAAATATGTACTAGAACAAAAGCAATCCACACCTAAAGAATTAAAAAGAAAGCTAGGTGCAAGTGCACACCTATAATGTCAGAGACCCATGAGACGGAGTTAGGAGGATCACAAGTTTATAGTCAGCCTCAGCAACTCAGCAAGATCCTATCCCAAAATAAAAAAGACTGAGGATGTAGTTTAGTGGTAAAATGCCCTTGGGTTCAATCCCCATTCTCTCTCCCACATACCAAAAAAAAAAAAATTTTTTTTGAAAGAAATGTATCAAACAGAGAATGTCATAAGAAACAGACAACAGGGGGAAAAAAGTCAAATATAAATCCTGGAATTGAAAAGTATAGTAATTAAAATTTTAAAAACAAAAAAAAATCACTAGGGAGGCTCAAGAGCAGAAAAAATATTAAGCAACAGTGCAAGTCCACATGAAGAAATGAGCACCTCTAATAACTTTGAGTACATAAAAATAGTATAAATGTAGTTTTGTTTGTAACATTTTTCTTTTTGATCAGATGTATTCAGGAAATTGTGTTGAGCTGGGTATGATGATGCATACCTGTAATTTCAGCTACTTGAAAGACTGAGGTAGAAGGATTGCAAATTGGAGATCAGCCTAGATCAATGTGTTTTATAAGCCACTGAGATTAATTTTTTTAAGTCAACATGTTATTTTTAATCTCCAGTGCAACCACAAAGAAAATAACTAAAAAAAAAAAAAATATGTTTAAGACAAAAAGGGGTAATTAAAATGGTATACTAAAATATATCTATTTATCACAGAACAAACTACTAATGGATTAATTAAAGGGAAAAAAATGTGACACAGAGAAAATGAAGAGCAAGATGCAGATGTAAATCCTACCTTCTCAGTAACTGTACTGAATGTAAATGAGTCAGACTCCAATCAAAAGAGATTGGCAGAAGTAGAATAAAAATTTAAAAAAAAAAAAAAGAGAGAGAGAGAGAGATCTGATTGGCAAAAAAAAGACTTTTTAAAATAATACACCAATATGCAGCCTACAAGAAACAGGAAATTAGATTCAAAGACACAGGTTGGGAAAAAAAAAAAAAGAAATAGTACCATCTTTTTGTATTTCAAATACCCAAAAAGAGAGATTGAGTGGCTATACAATATCAGGCTAAAAAAACAGATGATGAAAAGGCCAATCTAATATACCAATTTATACATACCAATTTTAAATTGGTATGTGTAAATTGGTATATGATTGGTATATTAGCTATATTTATACATACCAATTTTAAAAGTGTATGCATCTAACCACAGGGTCCCAAAACACATGAAGCAAAAACTGATAGAACTAAAGGGTCAAACAGGCAATATAAGAATAATGGAAAACTCAACACTGTTTTCAATAACAGAAAAACTGGTCAAAAAAATCACTAAGGAATGGGAGCCTTAAACAGTAAACCAGATAAAGCTAACAAACAACTATGTAACATTCCACCCGAGAGCACAAAGCACATTTTTCTCAAAAACAATACTGAATGCAAGGAATAAAGAGGAGGTAGAATATACACACAAGCTTTGCTTCAAAGTCAAAATTGTTAAAATAATAACATATGGAGATGTTATGTTCTAATTTGCCTAGATTTACATATTTTTACAATTTTTCCTAATAAATTTAATAAAGAATAGGGGAATTTAGGTAGAAACAAAGACTGCACAGTTTCAAATATAATGACATTAAAAGACTATTTAATATGGTTACAATGCAGATTGGGCCATAAAGCTAACTATAACTATCATCATATTTTCTATTTCCTTTAGGCTTTAAAATTAGTATGAAAACTGAGGGTGGGGGGGGAGGGTGGGATGATTTAGAAGCAGCAATTTTGATCAGTTTTTTGGAGGGCAGACAGGTATAAATGTGGAATAAGTGTTGACATATAGAAAGATGTTTAAACTGATTTGAAGGTGGGTGGGGGAGAAGCTACAGAACAATGCTGTATATACCAATAAACCAAACAAACCAAATCACCACCAATCCTGATAATCATACTGATTAGACTGGTACTGGAGATGGGGGTAACAGAGGGGAGACTTAATAAAGGTAGCCTTAATTGTATCATTTTTATTTCTTACATTTATACTACGAGTAGTATAAACGTATACACGTAGACACATATATCTGTGACTGTGTGTGTGTGTGTGTGTGTGTATACAAGCTCCTGGTTGAACCTTCTTCATAAAAATGCTCTAAATAACCAGAGAACAGAAGGGAAACAGAAAGAGATGAGCAACAAACCTAAAAGATCTCAAGTGAGAAAAACTTTCTAACAGAAAGAATCATCGTGAAAATTTGGGGAAGCTTCTCTGCTATTTTTGTAGTTATTAGCCTCTGCCTATCTGTCACAAATTCAGTAATCCTATCAGCCCAAAGCTTATAGCATACTCTTCCAGACAAGCTCAAGTGAGAGCACAGGCTCTACCAACCTTCGGATCTCTGCATCAGTAAATCCCTCCACGAGGTCTTTCCTCACACTTCGGGGACGCCCTCTGCGTTTTGGCTTCTTGTCGTCATCAGAATCATCTGTCTCACTCTCTGAAGCAGAAGATCTTTGGGCCTGCCTCTTAGACTCTGTGTCAGAATCACTGTCATTTGTCTGAGCCTGAGAAAGAATAAGATCACACTTTAACAAGTGTCAGAGCCAAGAGATGAAAGGACTAAGATCAGCCCATCTTAATTCTTTAATATTCAGAACTTCCCAACATATCAGACAAGTCAATTTTCCTTTAACAAATAACCCTATCTCTAAATAAAATACAAAACAGGACTGGGGATGTGGCTCAGTGGTCAAGTGCCCCTGAGTTCAATCCCTGGTACCGCCAAAAAAAAAAAAAAAAGAAAAAAATATTGCTTGGGGAAGACAGGTTCAGAGACACTGAAATATGAGATAAGTGAACTGGATTTAAAATATTTGGATATTTTTATAATATCTACTATATAAAATATCCAATATAATATGGGTTCATTTTTGTTTCTTTGTGCTTTTGTCTTCTCCTTTGTAAAATGGAAATAAAACTATAAAATGGACCTGTGAGATAGGGTTTTCAGATGAATTAAATGAATCAATAAATGAAAATACATTAAGAACTATGCCTGGCACATAGTAAATGTTCAATGTTTAAACTATGGTGATGGACAAATCTAAGTTTGCTATCTCCAACAAAATAATTACTAAAATTAGTTTTCTCTACTTCCATGTTGCTACAAAAAAATCAAATTAGATGTACTTGTAAGGATGTTTTATAAGCTATACAACCTGGAAATGTTCCTTGGTTTTAGTTAGGTAATTTCTTTTTTTTTTTAATGTGGTGCTGAGGATCAAACCCAATGCCTCATGCGTGCCAGGCAAGCACTCCACCACTGGTCCCCTGCCCTTAGTTATGTAATCTTTTTATTTATTTATTTATTTATTTATTTATTTTTGGTACTGGGGGTTGCACTCCGGGGTACTCAACCACTAAGCCACACCCCCAGCCCTTTTTTGAATTTTATTAGAGACAGGGTCTCACTGAGTTACTTAGCACCTCACTATTGCTGAGGGTGGCTTTGAACTTGCCATTCTCCTGTCTCAACCTCCCCAGCCACTGGGATTACAGGCATGCATCACTGCGCCCAGCAGTTACGTAATCTTTTACTAAGTATTTACACCACATGCTGTGAACATGTGGTGTAAATACTTAGTAAAGACAAAATATAAGATTTGGCTCTCCAAAAGTTGAAGGCAGAATTAGATCCAAACTGTTACGATTACTATTCTAATCTCTAAGGTAAAATGCAAACTACTGTCAAATTCAGATCCTATAAAGCCATTTCATACACAGCTAAAATTGCAAAGACTTAACTCCAATGTTTCTGTGTGAGCTCTGTGAATTTTCCCATTTTCCTGTGCTAGTTTCCCACACTAGAACTGTGCTCTGCAGGTCTCTGTGTCAGGGCAACAGAGCAAGGCCTCCTCTTTGAATAACCTGCACTTATAGAGTCTAGATAGTACAAAAAGTACTTTCATAGCTTTTATCTCACTTGATCACCTTTTTAGTGGAACTACGAATTCGGGGCAGCATATAAATTTCTTCTAGTTCCTTCTGCCTCTCCTCTTCCTCTACTCTTTTCCTTTGCTCCTCTGGAATGATCTCGTCCCAGTCCTTGTGAGGACGTTCTTCCAGCTCTTCTTCATCTTCCATTGTTGCAAAATTGGCAACCTGAAAACAAATGGACAACCCATTGTCTGACATTTCTCCACTTCCAAACACCATCTGTCAAGACATCAACTTACTCAGTGCTTTTAAATTTAAGTAAAACACTGTGAGAACCAGGATTCCTATGAGATTCCATAATCAGATTATTTATACTAATTTGTATTTCCCCCAAAATCAACTTGTGAAACCTAGGGTCATCATAAATGTTACTGAAAAATAGGGAAAAAGATAAAAGATATAAACTGTTTTAAAAATTTGATTGAAAGACTATTAAATTCCACACATTTTCTAATAAATGTAACACTAATCAGATAAGTTGGGTTTATTTAAACTATAAATGCTGAATACCTAATACTAATCCATGATGAACTTACATTACTATAAATTGCCATTCAATGGAGTTCATCTGAAACAAAGCATTATAATTAAAGCACTGATTACCTAGTCAACTAGTTTTCTTACTGACTTTTATAAATAAAAATTTTATATTTTATGAAATATAAACTGTAAAATAGATAATGATTATATATGCCCAAAAGTATACTGTGGTCTAAGGAGTAAAGGTGAAAATGTAAAATGGAACAACTCCAAATAAACCTAGAAGAATATCTCATATCAAATGTTATTTAATACCCAATACCTACGTGTACCAAAACTGTACGTACCCCAAGAAGAAAAACAACCTGAATGTATGCTTGAATTTCACAGAACCAGACTGGGACTACAGAGAAACATCAATCAACTCTGGGCAGTGGTGTGCAGGCCTTAGGCCTTGGCTCCACTTTTTTTTTTTTTTTTTTTTTTTAACGTGGTACTATGTGATCAAACCCAGTGCCTCTCATGTGCTAGGCAAGCGCTATACTCAGCTACAACCTCAGCCCTCCACATTCTTTTAATAAATTCTTCCTAGCCCTTAAGACTATCATGAAGTTACAAGAGCTTCTGGAAGTTCCACGGAATATTATGATTTTTTGCCAAAATTAATTCTTTATTTTTCAATAAGGACAATAAATTTATAATAAGATTTTCAAAACTTCAAGTCAAAACAAGGTATAATGTGAGATTATTCAAAAACAAATCTTCTGGGCTGAGGATGTGGCTCAAGTGGTAGTGCGCTTGCCTAGCATGCGTGAGGCACTGGGTTCGATTCTCAGCACCACATTAAATAAAATAAAATAAAGATATTGTGTCCATCTAAAAAACTAAAAAATAAATATTAAAAAAAAAAACTTTGACCATTCTTTCAAATTAAGGATCCAGCTGAAAAACAAATGCAATGGACTTAGAGACTAGAGAGCTTTCTAGGATACCTCTCTCTCTCTCTGCCAGGTAAGGACACGATATGAGCACTCTGCAACCCAAAAGACAGCTCTCTCCAGAAACCAATATGTTGACACCCTCATCTCAGAAGCCTTCAGAACTGTGAGACAAATTTCTGTTGTTTAACTGCTCAGTCTATGGGTATTTTGTTATAGTAATTAAGATGACTTAAGACAAATAACAATAACCCATCTCTGTCCTTTTCCATGACATCCTCTCCATCCTCAGATGCATGAATTCTAATCCTGAGCTTTTGCCCCAAAATTCTTCCCTTATTACTCCACTGAGACAACTTCCGCTGCTGGCCAACCGTGGAGTCCATTACACTGTAGTGATTGTTTCCAAACCCTCTCTATTCCTCCCATGAGCCTATGGGCCTACTGCACTTAACCATCACTATAACCTCCAGGTCTCTCTTGCTACTCTATCCTGTGTTGAATCAACCCATGCCTAATCCTTCCAACCATGTTCTCATTTCCATCTAGGAAACCTTTGCTATTTTTATTTTCTATGCTTCCCAAGCCAATCTCCAACTTAGGATAGCCAGCTGATCCAATTTCTCTGATCACAAGTACTAATGAAGAGAATCATAAGAGGGGTTGGGGTTGGGATTGTGGCTCAGTAGTAGAGTGCTCGCTCGCCTAGCCCATGTGAGGCACTGGGTTTGAACCTCAGCACCACATTAAAATGAAATAAAAATATTGTTTCCACCTCTTAAAAAAAAAAAAGAAAGAAAGTCATATGATTCTGCTAACCAACTCCACAGAAAAGCCATCTCATTTGGATTCAGCTGATTCTCTATCAAGTTCCTCCCTAAAACTCACCCACAGCTGTCCCAAATCTTTTCTATCTCTCAGTAAATAACCCACTTACTTTATTGGTACTTAAGGTCACAAACTAAATTCCCACATCTCTTCTCTTCCCAAAGATGAACTTTTTTTTTTATTTTCCAAGGCCAAATCCTCTACCTGGGCTTTTGATTGTATCCTTTTCTGTCTACTCTGGAATGTGTCAAAAGGTCATGTTTTCTTAGAACTTTCAATACTTTCCTATTTTCAAGTTCTTTTGTCAATCTAGTAACATGGTAACATCTTTTTAAAATCTTAACTCCCTTAATCTTATTTTCTTTGTGGGGTGGGGGGGATATTGGGAATTGAATTTAGGGGCACCTGACCACTAAGCCACATCCCCAGCCCTATTTTGTATTTTACTTAGAGACACAGTCTCACTGAGTTGCTTAGAGCATCCCAATTGTTGAGGCTGACTTTGAACTTGTGATCCTCCTGTCTCAACCTCTGGAGGTTCTGGGATTACAGGCATGGGCAACCATGTCCAGCTTCCTTCCTTCTACCTTCATAAATTACTGTCCCTAAGATTTTTGGTAAATACCAATGCTCAGTGGTGCCACCCTGTTCATCTGGTGCCCAGTGTCCACATTTAGCCCTCATCTCATTTAATTTTGTTTCAACAAACATTACTAACCCCCTTTACAAAAGGAAGAAATAAAAAATAAGCACTACCAAGCCTCCCAAATGCACAGCATTTAATTCCACTTGTGTTCCTCAGATCCTCCAAACTCTGGTCTACATCCATCCCACTGACAACACATTCTTAGCCTTCTTCGCCAGCTTATTCTCCTCTGCATGCTGACTCTGGGCAGACAGCCCACTTCAGTGGTTACCTTCATGAGGAAGACTGGAGATTACATTTACAACATACTTATAACTAATAATGATAGTGAGGATAAACAGAGTGCCTAGTAAAAAGAAAGTACCAAAGACATGAGTAAATACTACATAATGAATCAGTGTGCAAGAACTCTTTCCCAATAAGATCTTCATACCTTAAACTGTGATAAAAGCTCATCTGTCGCACTTGTTGACACTTCATTCTCTCTGGTTTCAGCCAACCGTAGAATTTCATCTATATCCATTTCCTGAAGGAACAGAAACAGATATAGTAATTTTCAAAAATTTAAAGAAAAGCAAGAGTCTTCAACATTTAATGAAAATGTTAAATGCAATAAACCAAATTTTTTCCTGAAATCCTCTTTATTCTTATAACTCAAACCTATAATCTTTGTATCTAATTTTTTGTGTAGTTTATGTGCATATTTTTGTATGCAATGCTAAGGATTGAATTCAGTGCCTCACACATGCGAGGCAAGTGCTCTGCCACTGAACCAGAGGCCCAGCCCTATATCTAATGTTTTAAATTATTATTTATGCAAATGATAAGGTGAAACTCAAAAAATATTAGGGGAAAACATAAAGACAGAATCCAAAAAGGATTTATTCATTCTTGCCTATTTGATTTAGTAAGAGCACCAGGTTTTGAAAAGAAAAAAGGAAAGGAAAGAAAGAAAGGAAGAAAAAGAAACTATGTCCCTTCAAATACTTAATAAGCCTCTGACACACTCAGAATCTGCTTCCCAAAATATTTAGATTCTCATAGATGATCCTTCTCAACAAAAGTTTTCCTCATTGTTAATTACCTGAGGCTCTGACTCTTCCCCTTCAAGTTCTTTGAAGAGATCCTCTGCTCCAAATTTCAAAATCGCTGTCAGTTCTTCTTTATTAAAAGGATTTGAGCTGCAGAAGTAAAATGCAGTTGCAATCTCTTAGGAATGTCAAATAAGCACTAAGGAGATATACTTCAGAATACCTATCATTTATACAGGGGAAAAGGTAAATTTTGTCCCAAGAAAAAATGAGCCACAAATACTTCATTTTTTATCCACAGGATTAGTCTATAGTTAGTAAATCAGAAGCCTAGAAAATCAATTCCTGTCCAGTTGGCTCAAATTTATATGATTAAGCAAGAAAAATGAATAACAATATGAAAGAGCATTCACTCTGCCTTTTATAAAGTTTTCACTCACTGAGAATTTTCAACCTTTTCAACTATGATCCAAAATAGAATGCATAAAGCTCTTCTCACTTAGGTTTCTCTTAGATGGAAAATTATATGGAAGCATTCTATTTAGGAAAGACTAATTTGATTTCACCTTAAACACAACTACAGCAGTCTATAATCTGATCAAAGTGTCAACTCACGATTTTCCATCTAAACATTTCTGTCATCATTAGCAAAAAGCACAACAATCTCCACACAAATATTTTTATACACAGTGAAGTAACAGCTGCCAATTCAGTGCCAATTCAATGGTGTCACTGTTGAAAAGTCAAAGGCAACACAGCTTCATTGCGGCTGCTGTTGTATGTCACATGAGGAGCCAAAAGCAAGGGACAGGCAAGAAAAAAAGAGGACCAGCACATAAACAGAAGGTGGGAGAGTGTAAGGCAAGGAAAGCAAAAATAAATGACCTGGCTTCTTTCTTGCAGTTATGATCTTTTCTTAGTTAGATAATGAATGGACTCACAATAGCCAGTAGGTAATCCTATTAAAATTATATCAAATGTGGGTATAAAATCAACTGAATTCTGCCTACCTCTCCAATCTTTCTAACACTTACTTAGATCTTCCAGAGTTGTTTTCCAGAACTGTCCGGCCAGTGGTATCCATGCGCTGAATCACCAGATGGTCCAATACCATCTTCTTTTTGGCCCGTTCTATGATTTCCTCTTCCACAGTCCCTTTTGTAACTAAGCGGTAAATATTTACCTATAGGAAAATAAAATGTTATCCTTATGTCTGACCAAACACCAAGGGAGGAAAAAAAGTATGCTCTCTACTACCATAAATGACCACTATCATAAATGACCATTCATCCAAGTAGGCAGTTTAAGTAGGCTGCATTCTTTAAAAATGTAGCAGGCTGTACTCTTATTAAATAAAATTGCTTCAAATGATGTTATTACAGCCTTATTCTAATAGCAAAAAATCTTACTAAAGATCAACCAGTTTCACTGATGGAAATTTTACAAAAACTGAATCATTGGCCATGACTGAAACCTATGAGTTAGCTATTACTAGAACAGACTTTGAAATTCATATACAAAAGAAACTAGCATATAGTTTTCCAATATAGTACAAAGCTAACATTGCCATGAATAAGAACACATTTTTTCAGCAATGCTAGAATATTTAGCAACTACTTGATATTAAAACAGGGAAAAGGTTTGGCTCTAACCTTTTCATACACATCAGTCTATATCATACATCTTTTTTTGGTTAATTCACAGAAAGTGAGAACTGATATACTTTCAAACAGAAAAGTTAAGAGGCCTTACTAGGTTCATCTTAGCACAAAGCTATCTTCTCTTATTTGTACTACTTATTAAACAGAAATTGACACTTAGGGACAATGAAAGATAAATGGGAGAAAATAAGTATTTTACAAACATCCTGAAAGGTCTGAAAAAAAACCACTTACTCCGATCCCAAAGCTATATCCAGAAGCCTCTCCCCACTGACCTGCTTCTTCTGACCAATTCTGTGGGCTCGGGCTTGTGCCTGCAAGTCATTCTGGGGGTTCCAGTCAGAGTCAAAGATGACCACTGTGTCCGCTGAAGCCAAATTGATTCCCAGGCCACCAGCCCTTGTCGAGAGCAGGAAACAGAAGTCCTGTACACAATGCAATATACTACTTTATGCAGTGGCCTTCTCAGAAACAGTTTCATACTCCAATAAGCCCTTATACCTGGAAACCCCTGCAGGTATGAAGAAAAGTGAGATATGATGGACAAACTTTATGGAAGCTAAAAGAAGGTCAGGGGCTTGATGGCAGAGGGAATTTTCATTTGATTAAAAGGAAGAGTCAATGCAGTGAACAAAGGAGTAAAGTAGAATCTAATAAGGCAACAGGGGCTAGAGAATAAGTGTTATCTCCTGGATAAAACTACTATATAAGAAACTAACTGAAAAGTCAAACAAACTTAATTATTGTAGGAATTGTTCCACCAAGTTACCCAGATACATATTTTCTGGGGAAAGAGAGATTATGTTTATACTAATGCAAGGCGATTAATATAAACAAAGATAGTTAACTCTGTACATATTGATTCATTTCTTAGGCTGGTGAGGAACATAGAACCTGCATTAAACAGATCACATATTGGAACTGGTAAAGAGCACAGGGTCCTCCACCACTGCAAAAACATGCAAAAAGAAAACCCCAAGGCTTGGCTGAAGAGAGTTGTGTAGTAAACACTTAGACACTGACAACCTCCAGTTTTCACAGCAATAATAGTAAAAGATTAAGCAGGCAAGGTGGAACTGCCTTCACCTGAAAGCTCAGAGGAAAACAATAAATTGTATAAGTCACAGAGGAAAAAAGCCAAAAGGGTTTCTATTTTCAGGGAATTTGATCATGTATATCAAAAGCAATGCCTTTTTGGCTCAGAAGTGGGACATAAAAACTTGTAGTGTAGGGTTACATCTTGATAAATGGGCATATTTAATGTACATATGTAGACATAACAAAAAGGTCTCCAATAGTCTAACAGTAAGATTCAAAAGCAAACAGGGCACCGTGGTGCATGCCTGTAATCCCAGCAGCTCAGGAGGCTGAGATAGGAGGATCGTGAATTCAAAGCCAGCCTTAGCAAAAGCAAGGCACTAAGCAACTCAGATTAAAATACCAGATAGGGCTGGGGATGAGGCTCAGTGACTAAGTGGCCCTGAATTCCATCCTCAGTAACAACAACAACAAGAAAGATTCAACAGCAACAGGAAATAGAAATAAAAAGAGAGAGAGAGCTGTCTTGAAAGAATTTTAAACAATTACAATAAGGAATTATCAACAGGTGTGACAATGTATGGTAGTGGTTGATCCTTGTTGAGAAATACTTCTCTGAAGAGAAGCCTAAATAGCGGATAGATTAGGATGAGTTACCAGAAAACTCAACAAAACATTAGCAAAACTCTTTTTTAAATGCTCATACCCTCTTAATTATATCCAACAATAATAAAATCATTAAATCAATAATGTTATAGGCACAAAGAAATATTAGAAATTAAATTCTGTAATACTTTAATAACATGGAGAAAATGCTCCAAGCATAATTTTGAATCAAAGGTGACAACAAAGCCATATGCGGCATGATCCCAATTTGGTAAATATATACAGTAATAAATAGTTTTATCCAATATTCATTTAAATTTACATTCAAATGTTGTGAAAAGCAAGTTGTCTCTGGAATGAGGGTTTTATACAATTTTTCTTCTTGATGCTTTTTACCATCAAATTTGTTAAATGGCATGTTTTTCCAAAATAGTATATTTCATTTTTTAAAATTAATTTTAAAAAGACTATAGGGAATGGTGCAGAACCTATATTTATATACAGCAATGAGGGAGAGCAGAAATCAATTGAGAATTATTCAGAAAGAAATGTCAGAATTTGACTTTTCTCTGAAAAAGGACAATAAGAAACATTCAACTTACACTTTTTGTGTTGGGCTGATGGACATAGGTGTAGGGATTGAACCTAGGACCTTGAACTTGCTAGGAATATGATCTGCCACTGCAACTCAAACTATCTCATACTATCTTTTAAACTAAGAGAATACAAAACCAATTTCAATATATAGCATAATAAAAAAGAGCTGACATTTATTGAGTGTGTACTAGTGTCAGGCAATGTAAACCAGTATCAAACTTAATCATTAATAATAATATTATGAATTATGTTTTGGAATCATTGTACTTTGGCAGTTGAGGAAACAGAAGGGAAAAGAGGGATGAGAATTAGGTGATAACCAATGCTTTTGGTAATTCAATTCCTCATTCCTAATGACTCAATCTTGATCCTAAACAGATTAATAACCAAAGCTCTAAAAGAGAAGTAAAATTTTAGGCTACAGAAACAGCCAGAATACCAGTCTAATAGGATTGTCTGTGACTCTAGAGGCAGAAGACATATCCATATCATTCTGTAATAATAAAATGGACAATTAAAGCTTTTCAGAAAGTAGAACACTAAATCTATTCTATTTAAAAACAAAAACAAAACAAAACAAACGTAACCCAGGCTTTTCCTCTTCGCTACTTCTAGACCTTCTACACTGCTTCCTATACCTCTGTACATTATTCTTTTTTTTTACACTAAAGCTTTTTTCTCTCTCTTCTCTCAAATTCCATGTTAGTTGATCATTTGAATACGATATCCAGTATAATCAGCATTTCTAAATCTATTTTAAGTAGTTCTTATAAAGACATATCCTAAACTACATACTTAACAATGCCAACTCAACTGAGATACTTGGTAATTTAAAAATGTTCCTGCTAACCAGAGTAGAAACATTAAGTAAGCCACATCATAATGGCAAATTCAAGAGAGGCAAACATACTATTCAACCTTTAATTACCAAAGCAGTACAGATCAGAGCCTTCTGATATATTGTACGTGTCAAAACTAATCCTTCTGGCCAGCCCTTTTCCACCCTTTCTTTGCTATTCTTCCAAGCCCATGAACTCATAGCTCAAGGTCACTTGGAGAACTGTCATTAACCCAGACCACAAAGCTAAACAAACATATGTATGCTTTAATGACATATAAACAACAAAAGAGGCATCTTTTATATTAGAGATTTCTCATTCTCAAGACAAGGGAACTGTACTACAAAATGTTTGTTTCTGAAACAAAATACATTAAGCTGAAAAGACTCTCCTCTTGATAGAGAGCCCAAGTTGCCCAAATAATAAAGCCATGCATCGAGTACCTCAGACCCATCTGCATTGAAGTGATCCAGTGCCTGTTTTCGGATTTCTCCCTTGATGGAACCATCCAGACGCTGTAAAAATAAACCACAAGAAAATCATAACGTCAGAAGATCAGCTACACTCAGAATAGAACACCAGACTTGCAACCTTTATTATCACCCAGTGTAAATATAACCACAGTGTAAATATAACCAGAACGATCTGGCAAAGTACTATGAAGGGGCTGTGCGTAAGCAGCATACACTATGTAACTTGAGCTCTCCAGTTACAAACTCAAGGTCAGAAGCTTCTGATTCAAAGGGCTATCTGGGTTTATCCAAGGATCAGAATGACAATCAGGACCTATAAGGAGAAAGATGAAAACGCTGCCTGTGCTTAGAGGCTTGGCTTATTTCTGTATTTGCCGGCATTGGGGAGATTAGCAAATAGTACCACTGGTCACCTAGCAATTAGCTCCTGCAGAAAAATGCTGTTTCTTAGGTAATGTGGTTAAAAATATCACTATTAAGTACTATGTAAACCAAAATATTACTTACATAATTTTTTTAAAAACTATTTTGTGGAATCACTGAAAAACGTTTAAAAAAAAAAATCGATCACATATAACAAGTTTTCCAAAAACTACACTCTTGAAATCAGAGTAAAATGTCTAAGCAGCCAAATTACAACATCAATTAAAGAGAACCTTTGGCATTGACTAGGGCATACAAATTTTTTGTTAGAGCACACTGTCAATTTTAGATACAAAACAACTTTGTCATGTAAAACTACCTAATACATAAAATAGAAATATTATCTGCATGCTATATGTATAAAGCATTTCTTGCTATTTAAAGTCATTTTAACATTTTGTCTCCTTACCATCATGATTTGGGAGAGAGTACTATGATACTTCATTTTACAAAAGGTAAAACTGACCTAAAAAGTGGCTGGCTACAGGCAGAGGACCTACATCTCTCCAGAGCTCTGCGACTGGATCAAAAGCCACCTAACTCAAGTCCACTCACATTTAGGAAGCTCCTTTTTTCTTTCTTATTCACTACAATTCTACTCAGAACCTTGAACCAAACATATGTTTAAATGAATCAGGATCACAGCCTATATTTGAAATCAGAATACTTTAAAGGGCCTCCCTTTAATATTCCCATTAATAGAAGACATTAGACACTACCTAAGTCACTGATTACTGATTAGATATGATAGACCTGAAGAATCCCAGATGAGTTATTCACTAGAGAGAAGAGTTACACATTCATTGTGTGTGTGTGTGTGTTTGTGTGTGTAGATGGAACCCAGGTTCCAAGGCAAACCTTCTACCACTAAGCCACCTTCCTAGGCTAAGAGTAATGCATTATTGATTTAGAAGACATCAAATGATTACCTAGAAACGAAAGCTCACAGCACTCTGACACACTAACTGATCCTTTTGCACTGTGCTGTTTTTTGATAACAGTCACAGATATATTAAGCTAAAACAGCTGTTAAAAGACCAAAGGAACTGGGCACAGTCATACATGTCTATAATGCCAGTTAAGGGGGAGGTTACAGCAGAATGATTCCAAGTTCAAGGCCATAAGAACCTGTCTCAAAACAAAAACTATAAAGAAGTTCAGGGATGAAGCTCAGTGGTGTGGTAGAGAATTTTCCTAGCATACACAAGTCTCTGGGTTAAATCCCTAGTACCACCAAAAAATAAAATAACATGATATAAAATGAACAAAGACCACATAAGATATTTTGAATGGAACAATGAATTTCAAGGTATTCTGACAGCCAATTTGTTCATAATTCTTAAAGCTAGGCCTTCTTAAAAGATAATCACTGACTCCAAGTTCCTTCAATACCAGTATCATTATATGAGTTGGTAAAACAGTTCAAAGTTGAAAAATAAAAATATTTAAAAAATAAACCTAAAGAGTTTGGAGTACAGCTCAGTGGGAAGGACATGTATTTATTTATCATGCATGTGGCCCTGGGTTCAATCCCCAGAACAAAAAAATTAAAATATAACATATTAAAATATAAGGTTTACAAAAGTAAACCTAACAGCCAACACACAATAAAAATACTATATTGAGTCAATATTGCACACATCTGCATGTCTATAAACAGGTCACAGATAAGCTTCTCATACACTGAATACTCCTAAAAATATTATGCTGAACAAAATCTTTTCCCATAGAACATTACAGAGTGAAAAAGAAAATCTGTACTAACAATTCCATGGAGGGAAGACCACCACTACTTGCTTTGGGATACAGTAAGGTTTCAATTTCCCATGTTGTTCTTTGTTTCCAAACTCACTCCAATGTCTACTTCATTTGGGGTGAAGTATAATGCTTCTCTTTCATTTTCTCCCGCCCCAACCTACCCCCCAATCTCTCTTGAATTTGGGCTTCTGAAATTGTGCTCACATCCTTCCTACTTTTAGCACAGACTTGGAGATGTAAGATACTTTCCTCATGCCTAATTCCCCTTTCTCTGATCCTCTCCACCCCCAAAAAAGAATGATATTCACACATCATTTACATTACAGATTTAATCTAAATTGGACAATGAAGTAAAAACTGAGACCTCAAATTAAATTTGTTTTAGCAGGAAATTTTTTGTTTGCTACCTTAATAAGCCAAGTACTCCGTGTGTGGGGGGGGTGGGGGTGGGGGTGGGGGGGGGGTTGCATCAACAAAGCTAATAAACTACCTTACCTGGAAAGGATAATGCTTAATAGTCAGGTACTCAGCCAGGATATCCAACATTCTCACCATCTGAGAGAAGATAAGGACTCTGTTCCCCCTTTCTCGAAGTCTTGTCAACAGTTTGTCTAAGAGAATCAGTTTCCCACTGCTCCTGATCAGGGACTGAAGATTAAAAACACATTCTAATCATCATGTTCAAACACATAACTACTGAAATGTTCTTTTTAATCTGGTACATGTTAGATTTTCTGTTAGATTTTTCTTTCCCCACTTATTTAACTTTTCTCATGTGTTTAAGCTTCTTTTGATGCTTTCCTTGAAAATATTATCAAGGAAGAAAATGAATATATTTATAAAAGCACCTATAGAAACTAAACTCTTTTGAGAAAGTAATTGTGAACAATAGGAACTACATACCAGAAGAATCTCCTGTCCATTTTCCCTTTCATTTTCTTCAGGAGGTTTAATTAGATAACAATGGTTGCAGCATTTTTTCAGTTCCATCACAATATTAAGAAAACCAGATGTACTGCCTCTTGTTCCTTTGGCAAGAGCCTTATAATTCCTGGTCAGTATCCATCTGTAAATCAAAATGATAATGATACTATTAGACTCAAGGAAAACAGAGTGTTATGGTACCTGAAGATACATGATATTATTAAAAAACCAAAAAGGACTAAGAGAAGTTTAAAAAGCAGGGAGGGGTTTTTACCTTACATCTCCAGTCACTGAACTACAATCTCTCAAATCTTCACTCACAACTGAAATGTTACTTATTCTACTTGGTATTTCAACCGCACTGAACACAGGGATAATAAAAGGAGATCTCTCTCTCTCTCTCTCTCTCTCTCTCCCCACACACACACACACACACACACACACACACACACAGAGAGAAAACAGATTATCACTGAAATGCTTTATTGCAATATGAAACTAGAAACAGGTCATGTAACAAAAAGACACTGGTTAAATAAATTAAGATAGACCATAAGTTTAGAAGCTATATACCCATTATACCTGTTGTAAAAAAGTATTTTTTATACAATAAATTCTAAATGACTTAAGTATGACTCATTCAAAATGGGAATGAGGGGAGGAGAAACACACATATGTAGGCATACTCATGTGTAATTCGTAACCACAAACTCCCAAGTATTTAAAATACTTTTCCTTTGGGACTGGGGTTGTAGCTCAGTAGTAGATAACTTGCCTTGCATGTGTGAGGCACTGGGTTTGAAATCTCAGCACCACATAAAAATAAATAAATATTGTGTCCATCTACAACTAAAAAAATATTTAAGAAAATACTTTTTCTGAGTAGTGAAATTTCCTTTCATGTCTCTCAGCCACACTTTTAGAAATCTATCTCAAGATTTTCACTGCAGCATTATTTATACAAGTGATGTATTTAAAGCAACTCAAATGCCACCACTAGGGAACTGACTAAAAAAACTATATTACAGATCCACAATGGAATACTATGCAACTGAAAACAAGTATCTTTATTATCTACAACAGAGTGTGTTTCAAGTGAAAAAAAAAGGTAGAGAAACATGCATGTATGCTATCATACAGCTAAGGAGGAAATTAAAAGGTTAAAATGCACATGGGTGTATTTTTAAATGAAGACATTAAAAAAAAAAAGATACGCATTAAAATGTTAAAATAACAATATTATGTGAAAAAAGAGAAACCAGAATGGAGGGAACAGGGATGGAAGGTAGATTTCTTTGAACATTCCAGATTTTGTATCTTTGCCTTTGGAATTCCAAACATTATATATAAATAATTAAAAAACAATATGATCCCTGAAAATGAAAACTAAAATAAAATAAGTAAATCTATGTATTCCATTGGTGGCCTAAACACACAGAAGAAAAACCATCTCAAGTGTTCAACACTAGTCCATTTCTCATGAGATATATTTTAAAATAAACAAACTTAAACCTACTTTTATTATTCATATTTTAAGTGGTAGTCCTGGCACAGTTATGGATAGTATACACTGGGCTGATGTGTAGTTGAGAACTGGGTTTTTAGCATGGGTATAGAAGCCATACGATCCAATACAACCTCTATAGTACAATATAAGTGCCTTTGGTATCTACAGATGCTCAAGTCTCTGATATAAAATGTAGTATTTGCATATAATTGATCCATATCCTCTTATATACTTTAAATAATATCTAGATTACTTTTAATACCTAATATAAAGCACTATACAATTAGTTCTTATACCACATTGTTTAATTAGTGATGACAAGAAAGTTTGTACATGTTCAATACAGATGGAATTTTTTCCTGAATATTTTGATTCATAGCCGATTGAACCCCCAGATGCTAAGCCCACAGATAGACGGGCAAGTGTAGTATTTTAACTGTAAACAATTTGTAATGGTAGTTTTATCTTCAAAAACAAACTTCCTAATTTTCATCAATGAAAATGCTTGTCCAGCACAGATGTGGAAGCACATGCCTATAATCCCAGCTACTAAGGAGACTGAATCATGAAGATTTTAAGTTCAAGGCCAGCCTGGGCTACTAAGTGAGATCCTGTCTCAAAATGAAAATAAAAAAGGGCTAGGGTATAGCACCCCTGGGTTCAATCCCCAGTACTAAATACAAAAGTATCCAGCACACTGTAAACAACACCTCTAGACCCCAGTTTGTGATATCCAAGTACCATGCCCCATAAAACAGTATGCAGATTTTCTTAGATAAAAGGCCAAATCTTGTTCCAAGGGAGGAAATATACATGATCAATCTAGAACATTTTATCATTCCAGAAGTGACCAAGCTAGCAACTAGTACAGGGTGAGCATTACTAATTAAACATCCAAAATGCTCCAAAATCTAAACATTTTTATATGCCACTATGACACCACAAAAGGAAAATTTCACACCTGACTTCTTGTGACAAAACAGTTAAAATACAAGCTCACTGAAAATAGCATATAATATTACCTTCAGGCTACGTGTAAACAGTATGCATAAGTGTAAAACAAAAGAATTTCATTTTTGTACTTAGGACCCATTCTCAAGATTTCTCATTATGTATACACAAATATTGCAAAATATTAAAAAATTAAAATATGAAACACTTCTGGTCCTAAGCATTTTAGATAGGAATAAGCCTGTATTCGTGCTATGTCAATTTGAGTCAGATAGCCAACTCAAATTATTATCTTTTGAAAATGGCAAAAATCCAAAGTATTTACTCTGCCTTTTGAATTTTTCCTCAGTTTACATGGGGAACTTTTTTTTTTTTTACAGATGTATTCAACCTTTAATGAAAAGCATGATAAAATCTGAATAACACTGTTTTGTAATCTCTAAGTGAATTAATGTATATCGGCAACGCTCTTCTGCTGATATCACAAGCAGAAAGACAACCTCCCTTGAAAGAATATACCTTTGCATTCTAAGAAAGAGTTATGCTGAATCTGAGTCTAATCAAGCCTCTATATTTATATATGAGTGTATAAAACACACAAGTTCAGAGGAAAATGTTAATGATGCAATGGAGCTAAAATTGACAAAATCCAGATATGACAAAAATCTATAGAACAGTCAGCTTCTTCACACAAAAATTGATAAAACAAGGGAAGAATAGAATTAAAATAAATGTAAGAGATACACAAACCAATCATAATGTATGGAGCAATGCAGATACCAAGACAAACAAACAAGTGTGTGTGTGTGTGTGTGTGTGTGTGTACCAGCAAAAGTAAAATTTACTGGAAATACCTGTTATGGAATTATTGATTTATCTTACAGTATTGTAATAACTATCAGCAACAACAACAAAAAAGTCCTTATCTTTTAGAGGTATACACTGAAACATTTATGGCATGTTTGTAGAATATATTTTAATATGATGGGGAGGTGCAAGAAAAGATAGCTAAACTAATATTGGGAGTGAGTTAATAATTTTTAAAGCTGGATTATGGGGTACATGAGTTTGTACTATTCTACTTACATGTCTTTGAAATTTTCCACAATAATGATTTTTTTTAAAAAAATCACAATGAGGGGCTGGGAATATAGCACAAGTGTAGAGCATTTGCCTGGCATTTAGGAGGCCCTTGGTTCAATCCCCAGAACCACCACCAAAAAAAAAAAAAAAGAAAACAAAACAAAAAGAAAAAAGAAAACAAAAAGAAAAAAGTCAGATAATAATTTTTAAAAATTAAAATCTTAAAGCCTATTACAAGCACATTATATATTGACCTCTGTCCCAAATCCATTATTTTGGTTTTAAGGTATTATAGACTAAACCAAATATATAACTTGCCTGTGTCACTTGGAATGCTAGAATGATCAAATATTCACCCTATAGCAAAATGGTGAGAGCTTTTTCTGAACCTTCACAAGCCCCAACTTACAACTCCATTGGTGAACAATGGTGTGCTCTAAATATTTGTCTCTTGTCTATGTTCCCTATCACAACAAGGATTCTGGCAGGCACATATTCCATTTATTTTCATGTTCCCTGTAACTAGTAGCCAAGCACTTTGTAGAGGTTAATAAATAATTTAATAAGTGACAGAGAAAAGAAATAATTACAAATAAATATTTACTTGTGTCTATTGGTAGGGGGGGTAATATGAAGAATGAACATATACTTCAGACCATTTACATAATAAAAACTGCAAATTCTCACAGACAAAAAAAGCAAGAATACCTCTTTTCTGACCAAATATAAATTTCAACTTAATCTATAATGTGGCTTCAGGGGTTAAAAAAACACAAATTATTTGTCAAATATCTATCTAATGGCTTCACAGTACTCATCTCAATCACTTACGGCCTAATCCAGAAAAAAAACTTGCTTACTTGTAATACTGTTTCTGAAGGGCCGACATCTCTACTCTGAGAATCTGTTCCACTTTGGCAGGAAGGGATTTCTCCACATCTTTTTTGACTCTCCTGAGAAGGAAAGGCTCTAGCACCTTATGAAGACTCTGGTAGCCATTTTCTCTTCCCTTTCCATGGTCTTCTTCAAAATCTTCCCAGAATTCAAACCTATGGACATAATTATCATATTTTTACTTACTTACAGAAAGATAAAAGATAATTTTTACAACTAAAATTTCTTCTACAAGAAATCAAATGGGAAAAGAAAAAAAAACTGTTAAAACAAAATGAATCTTTCCCACAAAGAAAGACAAATTCTACCCATCAACTATCTCTTGAACAAAAAAAGAAACAAAAAGGAAAAGGAAAATCAACTGATTTGATTCTATCAGTCTACACTGGATAATAGCAGATTTCTAATTCCTCAGATTCAATCAAGAGTTTATAAAATATTGTCATAGATCATTCACTTACAATGTTAGTAAACATAAGTTATTCTCATGAAATGTTACATAAAACAATTAATCATCAACTATCTTTTGATAAGCTACAATTTCTTGGGGAAATAAATGCAGAGATAAAAAACAATTAATGGCAATACTATTATAGTAAGTTACTGCTCAAAGGTAAAAGTTACATAACTTTTATCAATAATCTTCACAATACAGGTTAAAAAGTTAAGGCATTATAATGATAATAAGCAAGATTATAGAAAAGACATGAAGATCAGTAAGTAATCCACCTTTAATACTAACAGAACTTGGGGACATATTTCATTAGTGAATTCAGATAGTGCACTCATAATAATACTACCTAAATGCTACAAATAAAAAGTTTCTCATATATAAATCTTAATCTACTAAAGGATCTATTGCAGAAATCCAGAATGGGACATTATCACTACTTTCAAAAATAAAAAATGAGGGAAATTTATTTCATGAAGATTATGTGCTTTATCTCTCCACTACAGAACCACTGAAGCTCTTGAAAAAAATCAGCTTGGTTCTATATAGACTGAAGTGCACAGGTAAAGGCAAAATGTTCATTTACTGAAGCTAGACTTGGAAACTGAACCACTGTCCTAACACCTGTTGTATGACACCAGTGGGGCTGTTCTACTGAGACCAGTCAAATGTCAGACAGCCCAAACCAGGTGACCAACATTAAATAGAACTCAAAAGCATATGCCATCTGGGAGGACAGAAGTCAGAGACAGCACACACCAACACGACAACCGACATGACAGTCTCAATAGTCCATTGTCATTTCTGAACTCTTAAATAGCCAAGCACTTCATCAGGTACTGCTAGGTAGACCAATTATCAGCCTTAACTACATTTGGCAAAGCCTGAAATATCTTCAGGAAAGTAAACAAAATATTCTCTTGTGGCATAAATCCAAAACACTTATTAGACAAACATGAGTATAAACCTAAGTTAAATGTTTCAAGAACAAAATAAAATAAATGAGGAATTAAAACTAATAAAACTCAATTATTAATATCAATGTTATTTTATTTTTAAAACTAATAAGAACATTTAATGTAAAATGAATATCATAGTGGTGGACATGATACATCACATACAAAATGTGCGAAATGACTAAATATCAGTAGAATAGTTACTATATCAGGTCATTTTCTAAATACCTGGGAGATCATTTCAAAAAGCTAATTTCATTAAATGATTATTATTTTAATTATGGTAGTCTAAAAAATTAAGCATAACCAATATAAGATTTACTTCCTACTATTTTAGGCAACAAATATTTTTATATGGCTACTGTATTCTTATTGTAGTAAAGGAGTTGTTATGAGATACAATTTTTTTAGCTACACATATTGAGGATATATACATATCATCCATAAATTTGTGAAATGTCCATGGTTGCTTTCCCTCTAAACAACAGAGATGAATAATTGTGACATAAACTATATGGCCCATAAGCAAAAACTTATTTACTATCAGAACCTTTAAGGGGGGGGGAAAAAAAGGAACTTTAAGAAAGTTTGCTGCTTTGCAATGATAATTATCATATGTTCCAAAAGATCATAACTGTGAATGCATGGCTCTATATCATATCTAGAGATTATTTTAGAGACATCCCTGCTATCCACTTCTGTGCTTAACTTTTCTCTCACAAAAGTAGAAATGATTTTTTTTTAATTATCAAGACCTTGAACACTTTTTAAAAATTGGTTACTGTAGTGTTTTAAGAACAAAATTTTCGGGCTGGGGATGTGGCTCAAGCGGTGGCGCGCTCGCCTGGCATGCGTGCGGCCCGGGTTCGATCCTCGGCACCACATACAAACAAAGATGTTGTGTCCGCCAAATACTAAAAAATAAATATTAAAAAAAAAAATTCTTTGTAAAAAAAAAAGAACAAAATTTTCAAAGAACAAAGATCTGTTCCATAGGAAAAAAATAACTGTATGCCTAACTCCAATGCATTACTTCATAAATGATTCAGCTCAAAACTCTAGAACATATTACCTGAATGATAATAAATATCTAACAGAAAAATCAACTCAAAATTCCTCTTTAATTACAAAAGCAGGACATATGATTTTTCCCAAAAAAAACATAGCCAATAATGGGTGGAATATGATGGGTGCGCAACAAAAGAAGCTCAAATCCTTATGATCCACATCAACAGTCAGGTATACAAAAGCAAACCCTAGTAAGTATTCCTTGCTAGAAACTACATACCACATTCTACTCCTAAAAAGCAAGCATGGGGTGCTGGGGTTGTGGCTCAGTGGTACAGTGCTCACTTAGTATGCATGAAGCACTGGGTTCAATCCTCAACACCACAAAAATATAAAAGTAAAGATATTGTGTCTACCTAAAATTAAAAAAAAATAAATATTTAAAAACAAAAACACCAAGCATGGATGTTACCACTGTGCCTCATGATTCCTACTATGTAGGCGGCCTTAATGGTATTGTGAAGAAAGTACTTTTTCCTCTTAGAGCCTGAAGTTCAAAGGGAGTTGGCCTTGTTCCATCCATTTATTAGTTATATAGTATAAGACATATTTTTATAATCTAAAAATCATATTCTTATTAGTAATAAGAGACCTAAATATATATCATGTATCAAAAAGATCAATATAAAAAAATGATAAAATTGGTTTAATATGCATAAAATTTCTTAACCATTTTAGAAAGATTAAAAACTAAAAATTGATAAACTCTCCTATTTCTAATCCTTTGTACAATTTTTTTAAACCTTCATCTTATATAAAAACAAACTTTTATTAAAAAAATTTACATGTGAAGGATAGGGTACCTGTTAAAGAATATATAGCAAATTTTTTTAAAATTTTTCTTTTGTAGTTGTAGATGGGACAAAATGGTTTCATTTTATTTATTTTTTTTATTTATTTTTATGTGGTGCTAAGGATTGAACCCAGTGCCTCATGCATGGCAGGCAAGTACTCTGCCACTGAGCTACAGCCCTAGCCCCAGAATGTTTTTTTTTTTTTTTTTAAAGAGACTGAAGCAACTGGCTGTCTTCAAGAGAGTGACTACTGGGCTGGGTTGTGGCTCAGTGGTAGAGCGCTCACCTAGCACGTGTGAGTCACTGGGTTCGATCCTCAGCACCACATAAAATTAAAATAAAAGTTATTGTGTCCACCTATGGCTAAAACAAATATTTAAAAAAAGAGAGAGAGTGTGACCACTATTGACTCTCAGAGCTCTAGGGAGGAAAAAAAAGCATCCAGGTGACGAGCAAACAGGACAGACAAAAGAATAGTGATAAAAAGGGGCAGGGCCAGGCATGGTGGTGCACGCTAGGCATGGTGGGGTGCACCTATAATCCGAAGATCTCAAGAGGCTGAGCTTGAGACTGAGGCAGAGGATCGGAAATTCAAAGCTTGCCTCAGCAACTTAGCAAGGTCCTAATAACTCAGCAACATCCTGTCTCAAAATAAAAAAATAAAAAGGATGTGGGATGTGGCTCAGTGATTAAGTGCCCCTGGTTTCAATCCTTAGTATACGCAACCCCCACCCCGAAAAAAAGAAGGGGTAGGTAGGACACAATATGATAGGACAGCCTGGAAGACATCATCAGGACCCCTTCAACCATAGCAGTTCTTAACTGGTGGCAGTACCCCCTCCACCCCCAGGTCTGGAGATGTTTTTGGCTATCATTATACCAAGGAGGAATTACTACTGGCATATAGTGTGTAGAGGCCAGGGGTACTGCTTAACATCATACAATGCAAATGATAACCCCCATGAAAAAAATTATCCTGCCCAAAACATGCGAAGATTCACTTTCTATTCTATTTCTGGGTTGTGGTGGGGGTGGGGTTCACTTTAGGCTTATCCTATCAACAGTAGTAGTGAAGGCAGCACAGCTAGATGGTGAAGTTTCTCTACGTATCTTCTCAAGAGTCTTAAACAAGTCTTCACCAAAAAAAAAAGTCAAGAAAGAATAGGCAAGGACAATAAATTTGCTGCTAACATGCCCACCTTATAAGAAATACTAAAGGAAGTCTCAGTGGCAACCTTAATCGACAGGAGTAAATCACTGGAAATGATAAAATACATGAAAGATAATATAAATGTATTTTTTTTAAGTTTCCTTAAAAGACAAACCTGTAGAAAACAATGATAATATCACTGTATTCTTTGGTTTATAACATGAGGAGTAAAACTGGAATTGTAGTAGAACAAAAATGTTATATTTTTAACAAAATTAAGTCAGGATTAACCTGAAGGAGACTGACAGATTCAGTTGCATAATCCCTAGGGAAATCAATAAGAAAATAATTTTAAAATGGAAAATATTGCCAAACAGGTATTAATTAAATGGCACCCTTAAAAAAAACTGAAACAAAAGGCAGTAAAGAAGAAACAAAAACAAAAGAGATATAAGACATATGGGAAACAAATAACAAAAATAGATACAACCAATCAAAAGGCAAAAACTATTAGTCTAGATAAAAGGGTAGATCCAACTATATGTCATCAACAAGAGAGACATTTAGATTCAAAGAAAGAAATAGGTTGACAGTTAAATGATGGACAATGGTATAGTATTAACCAGGAGAGCGCTGAGAAGCTATAATAAAAATCATAAAATAGACTTAAGGAGGGTTGGGGCTGGGGCTCAGCGGTAGCACACTTGCCTGGAATGTGTGAGGCCCTGGGTTCAAT